ATTAAGCTCACCTTTAGTTTGTTTTATCCCTTGCAAATGAGAGCCATTCTTCTGCTAATCACGTAATATTTGACAACCTCTTATTGGTCTAATTTGTCAACATGACCTTATCTATTGATCCCTGATTATAGAGTTAGTCGGTAGTCTGAAAAGATGAAGTATGTTCACTGCATGCAAGGATCTCCATGCATGTAATGCAGAATCATGAAAACCAATATTAAAATAACAAGTAGAATTATTCAACAGAGTGGAACAATTCCAATACACTTACACATGTAAAAAATTTGATGACCTATAAATAAGCTACTATAAACAGTTCTCTGAATAAAACATAGTATGTCACATGTGCATTTGGCTTGGTGCCAGACAAAAAATCCATTTGGCAATAATCACTCCATACAAGGTCAATTGTCACATGATTGAGCATTCAAGACTAAGACTATCCTAAGGCATGTGAATACAAACATGAATTTGTTTGTGTTGCCAGCTGTTAGTATTTTACCCACAAAATATTTTGACTCCGTGAATGAAATTAATAATGATATATTTAATTTGAATTCAGTATAAAACGAAATAATAATAGACCGTTATCTAGAAACTTGTGAAAACACTCAATTTTACAGTTTTTCATGTATAAATTCACATATTGGATGTGAAATATTTTAACATCTGCGCGTTAACTAAGGATATTATGAAAAGCTATCTTTTATTTTTATTTATTTATTTATTTGAACACATACATATTGGTACAACAGTGCGCCAAATATATATGCACCACACAAAACAATGATAAGTTAAAGAGAAGGAAAGAGGAAAAAGGTAAGAAGGGTAAAAAAAGAACAATGAGGAAGAGATTGGTGTAAGGTAGTGTAATGATAATAGTGGTAATAATGGGGTAACGGAAAGTTACAACCAGAAGAAATCTTTCAGTTAAGGAAGATGCAACCATTTTTTTATGAAGTAAAAGAAGGTTACAGCAGGATCGCCACTGGCTTCTATTCTGGGCCATATCTGAAAACGTCTCTAGCCACTGTGTTGCACCATCTCTCGGACCCCAACCAGGGAGTACTGAAGGACCAACAAAAGCCAGTCCTTTACAGCTTTCTTTCATGCAACGACACAATGTCATGCACTGACCACCTCTCCGCTTCTTCCACCCAGTCCCAGAGTCGGCAAATAATGCACGACGTGGAATTCTCTGGAACGACATTCGTAGAACATGTCCGAGCCACCGAAGTCGATGTTTCAAGATGGTGACACCGATTGCATTGTCGTCTCTGTGCCCGAACACACGATGCCGAACCTCTGCATTACTAACACGATGTTATCACTAGATGTCAGCAATCCTTCGGAAACAACGATGATCGAACACAGAGAGTCGTCTAACATCCTCAACTCGGATAGACCAGGTTTCACAAGCATAGAGCGAAACTGCTCTCACCGACGCGTTGTAGATCCGAACTTTTACAGCCAGACTAACATCATGAAGGCGCCAAAGGTGGCCCAGATTGGCATAAGCCGCTCTGGCTTTCACTATTCGTGCATTGATCTCATCACTCACGCCAACACCAGCATTTATGTAGCTACACAGATACACGAACTTCTCGACTACTTCTATCTACTCACTACCCAGGGTGAGTACAGGATTAGAACCCCTCCAGTCTTGTAGAAGTACTTTGCACTTCGAAGGTGCAGAACACATGCCATACCTACGGACATTGATTGCCAACCGATTAAGTGCTGATTGTGTGGCTTGGGTATTATTGCACAGTAAGACAATATCATCCGCACACTCAAGGTCGAAAAGTCTTTCTCCAGGTAACAGATCCACACCGCTATTACTTACATCCATCAGAGCTGTTCCCAGAATGTCATCGATAGCAAAGTTGAAGAGAAACGGTGAAGTGGAGCAGCCCTGTCGTCTAACCCCACTGCTTCAATGGAACAGTGGAGAGAGGTGGTTGTATGTCCTCACTCTGCCTGAGATGTTTGTATATCGGGTTTCTAAGATGTTAGTCAACTTCTCAGGCACACGCTTCCTCAATAGATAATCCCAGAAAACAGTGTGGCCCAATGAATTAGACGAGAGCCTAACGTCAAGAAGCATTACGATTGTTGGCCTGTGATAAGTATGACGGTGTTCTGACATTTGGTGGAGGAAGGAGATTTGCTCAATGCATCCTCGACCGGAATGGGAACCACCCTGATCTTTGTGAGTCAATCTTTCCTAGGTTTTGAACAATCTATGAGGTTTGACGAAAGCCAATAGTTTGGACGCAATCATAAGTAGACTTATTCTCCGATAGTTGTTACAGGGACGACGTGAACCCTTTTTAAAGATAGGGACAACTATCGACTCACTCCATGATGTTGGAACACTCTTCAATTGTCATACCTGTGTAAATGAATCAGTTAGTTCCTTAACCAGAAAGTCGCCGCCATCTCTATATTGGACAGAGTTGAGTCATCAGGGTCTGGTGATTTGTAGAGCTTCAATAGTTGGAGCTACTTGCGGACTTCCGCCTCATTTGGTGGATCAGTCGTCACCCGCCATGGACGGCAGGACAGTCTGACCGATTTTGACGGAGCAGCAGGCCAGTTGAACTGCCCTTCGAAAAATTCTGCCCATCGTCCAACACGTCGATGGATGTTAGTGATTGACGTTGCGTCATCCTCGCAGATTGTTTCACTCACACCAGACTTCTTGCTGCCAGTAGTTCGGATGAGTTGGAAGAGCTTCCGGTAATTACCAGGTGCAGCTGCTGCTTCCAGCTCATTAGCACTCTCCGACCACAAGGTTTTTCGGTCCTTACGTAAGCTTTGCCCAATTTCATGACGTAACATCCTTCGTTTGTTGTCAAACTCACGATCACCCGGAGTAGACCGACGGGCTTCAATGAGTTGTAAGGAACCAGAAGAAACCTGATTCCTCCGTCTCTTTTTTCTCTTCCCAAATTTATTTCAGTGGATTGTGTTCTTTAAATAACATCTAAAAACCCTAATCTTTCCGATTACTGCTTATAATCGTACTACCTCTACCACTACGGGCTTTGAATCGACAACTGCATCTCTGTGCTAATGTGGTATGACAGCTTGAACTGATGTACGTACGTGCGAAGTTTTACGTTGTTACTGATTGACTAGTATATGTGAAAGTTAGCGAAATTGATCAGGTACCCGGACCGTAAGAAGTTGAGGGAGTTCGAACTTGTAAAATGTCAGCTGGAAGCTTAATGTTTTAATTAATAAGTCGTCATGTAGTTACGTTCAAAGCTCAGGTTCTTTTGAGTATTGAGCATCTAAATACTGTTTGTCTTTTTCCTCCATGCAACCCATACCTATTATACTTTTTTTACTTTTTAATTAAATGTTTTTATGCTGTTATGTTGGGGTACTTTTATGAGCGACTGTGCATTTTTCTACTGCCAAGCTTCATTCTATACTAAAGAGCTAAGGATTTCATAGTGCTTTTGATGAGAAACAAGAATTTAATTCCATCAGCTCAAATTAACGAGGTTAGTACATTTATTCGAAGACATCGTAAACATGTGGAGATAAGGAGTCGATTTGTAGATACCTCGAGCTTTAAATACAGATAGTGAAATGAAACTAAGAAAATGACATAGGATTGAAGTTGTATTTTTGGCGATTATCACTATGGACCAAAGCCACGAAGTAGGTTGATTCTAAAAGGTTTTTTACTATGGACATCAGAGTTTCAGACGGAATGTTTGAAAAACCAAAATAAAACGGGAATTCCTCCTTTACAGTTGACCTGTGAGATCATTATATTAGTATTCCATAATTTTCTATGACATACCAGGATTTATGCTAAAAGTATAGTTTTCATATTGTGGATGAGTGACGAATGAAATTAATGCATTACTTTTCCCGTTTAACAAGCTAAGATTACGCTACATAGCGTAATCTTCATTGGAAACTTACCGTATTACAGTTTGACTATGACAAAGCATTAACGTTTTGTTTATGTGTACTGACTGTATAAGAGACTTAATACCATACAACTGCTTTGTGCGACCATCTTTGTATTTATTAGGCGATTAATTTCGGATTTAAACACCACGCTTATAAATTCCGTCCGTGAGCATTCTCTAGACTTAGGTGTTTGGAATAAGGTATTTGGAAAGACATAAACAAATCAACTAATTTCAGGAGCATCACGTACACCACCTTTTCGAGTAATTCATACAGGTTGGTACGTTTTATCAGCTTAGCAAAGGCTTTCCTAATAACGAACGTCACTACATTTAACCAAACAATTCTTTTACACTGAAAGAATCATGAATGATTCGCAAACAAAGTGAAGGTTTATTATAAAAACATTACGATTTTTCGTATAGAACTAACTACTTATTCGCCAATATAGGTCATAATTTGCCATAAAAGTTAAACTTATGACGAGAATGAAAGTTTCGGCAGAAATACATTAGGGTGAAACTTCTTAATTTCTCGTTATTTAAACACGCTGTAAATAGGTTTTCTGAGATGAATGGATAAAGCATTGTTTGAGAATTAAAAACTGTCTCGAACAAAGCATTTAGAAAAAAATGTATCAATCGTTGGAGTCGTTATGAAGACATCTGGGAAACTAGGACATTCTTAAATCATCATACAATTAACGGAACTTGGGGACTATGTGCTGTGGACAACAGAAATTCGAAGATAAATATTTAACCTCACAGATAACCTTGATTGTGCAGTTTGAGTTTATTTGCAGAACGTTAAAAGATTTGGTAGCGAACACTTGAGGACCTTATAACAATTGTTCTATGACCTGGAAATGTCTTGGAGATCACTCGAAATTAATTTCGAGTTTTCCGAAGCATAATGAAACAAATAATTAACTTATGAGTCAACAGTACTCGGACTTTTCAAGCGAACTAATTGCCGTAAAAAATTCACATAAAAATTTTCAAAATACGATGAAGAATAAGATCTATCAAGAAGCTTTCTTAAAAAGACGGATATAAGTAACTCACACTCAAGGAAAGTCATTGAAATTGTCTACCTGCACCAAGGTCGACAGACAACCTGAAGTCAGTGCATTTAAAACATTGTCAATGTAAATGGTTCAAATGGTTGTCGACGGAATAGAAGAAGCTTACGTTTAACAGGCTTCCGTGTCTAGTAGTAGGGGATCACGAATAACCATAGGCAGGAACCTAGATATGTCAACGACAGAATAGAAAAAAGAATTTAGTAAATCATAGTATGATACTATCCTCAGACCTTAAGAATAGATCAAGTTGCCTCTTGAAGGACTTCTGAGAATTCGCTTGGATTAGCTCGGACGGCACAGAAGTCCAGCATTCGACAACTCTTAATGAGTAGGAGTTGTGTCTACAATCCTTTCTGCTATGTGTGTGTCTTCAATTTCTGGGTGTTGCCCCTTAGGTTGGTATTGGGACTAAGCTTAAGTAGGTGTTTAAAAAGATGTCCAGAAGTGTTAAGGATGCTGTGAGCCATCAGAATGTCACCTCTAAGACGATAATACTTTAATGGATAAAGGTCAAGTTAATGGATGCGCTTGAAAATGCCACAGGTATTCGGAGCTTGACAACCGTCCAACCAGTAACTCGTAATCTGAATCGTACCCACCAATTGAAATCAAAGGACAGAAGCGAAGAGGTTCGAAGATATATTTGATAGGCTTTCAATATATCGTCTGACCTATTCTGGATAGCGATTGCAGGGGATGTTGAGCACGGCGTTCCCACTCGTGATCTGGTGCGGATGCATGGCCGAGCGGCTCCAACTGCATGGAGTCCATTAAGACTAACGAGATCAGCATCCAATGTCGAAAACTTATAGAACAGAAAGGGTAAGACACTAGTACGTCCAGGTAGAGACCTAGCTACTTTGAACAAGCTAAATAATAAACTATAATAAGATATCATAACGAATCATTAAAAACACTCCAGGTTTTTCCTTAAGTACCCCTCGAAATTCAACTAGACCCCCTTAGTCTTTACCGAGGCTTGTGCTGAAATTGAGATTAGGTTTTTATAAAAGGCCATCAATACCTAGGAATTATACACACATGATTCATCCTATCTTTGAAACGAACCTAAATAACTCGAATATCATTTGACTACTGAGTCGTTTTTGCCTTCATAATAACTCTTTTCTTCTTATAGGAATTCTTGAACTTCGGAACACATACACATCTTATTTTTACGTCCTTGTGTAAGTTGGTAAAGGTTGTAAGAGAATTAAAATGAACAATAGTTAATTGTTATTCAATTCTTCCTGAAAAGTTCACGCACAGTCTGCACAAAAGATAATATTTAATTTCGGTAGGACACAGACTGCTACAGATTCTGGAAGAGTCCTTCAATCCACAATTCCAGCCAATTTAAGCAATGCAACCTAAAAAAGGAAGTTAATCAATATAGCTGCCGCCATATCTAAGCGTGAACTAAAACAACGTACGTTCTGTTCAGGAAAACATGGAATTTCAGTATAACAGTTAGGAAAACAAGAGCAACAATAAAATACAAGTAGCACTACCTCATATCCAATCAAAAAGACAACCAATATATACGTCTGAAGAAATCAAGAAGAATAAACTAGTATGTACGTGGAGAGATTTTCATATACTAAACACCCAAAATGGATTTTGCAGGTAATATGACGAGATGTTATGTATTGCCTTCTCTCGTCTGCTTCGCCTCTACGTCTGTCACAAATACCAGGGTGAACTTGCGCCATTCAGATCATCCACAACTTGATGGTTTCACGGATCTGACACGGTGGCAGACATTGAATATCTGGCCAGCATAATTGAAACCTGAGACAATATCTATCTGTTTCTGTTGAGATCACATAGTGTTCAGTACTAGGAACTCTGCTCCTTGTAGCCTATATAAATAACCTATCTCAGAGAGCGTCATCCGACTTGTTATTTTTTCTGAGGATTTGAAAGTTTGGGGAGACGTTTTTAACCAAGAAGATGAGCTGGCAAGTGAGGAGGATTTAACTCGACTTAAAAAATAGGCGGATTAGGACTGACTTTATTCCAATACTTTAGAGTGTAAAGTTATTCACCTGAGACATGTTGCAGAGTACACATACGACTTTGGTTATTCTGCTCTGGAGGTATCTCAAGTAGAGAATGATCAAGGAGTTCTGGTACTCTATGAATAAAAGTCTCATGTCAACTGCGGCAAGAACGTCTTTCGAGCGAACCTTCCATCGATAACGTTGAAGAATTTTTCGCTAGTATGACAATGAGCAGTTTCATTCGACCCTATTCAGAAAATGGGAGTACAGTGTTCTTCACCTCATTTCAAAAGTACAAGAATACACTTTGACCTATCCAACGGCGAGCCACGAAATCATTTCGAGGGCCCAAATTCAAACCTTGTGAATTGCGGCTCAAATAATCGAGTCTTTTCCCATTATAGTACAGGTATCTCAGAGGTGACCTTTCAGTGTCTTATGGCATCACTTCTGGACAGCCCATCAAATACCTACTTAAACTCAATTGCAGCAGAAACCTTAGGAGTAACACGCAAAATTTGAGGATACAACATGGCGGGATCGACCGTAGGCACAAATTTTACACCTTATGAGTAGTCAGGTTCTGGAATTCACTGCTGGTTGATGTGCTCCAAGCAACTACTAAGAAGCCCTTTAGGGGAAAACGTGGCATACTCTTATGGACTCAAGATAGTATCTCACCATAACTTACCAGTATTTTCATTTCTATTTCCACACATCCTTAGGTTCCCAATCCCAGACTGCGGTGATCCATTGCTAATAGTTGAGCAAGCCCGCGGAATGCATACAAACTTCGTAATGGCATCAGCGGACAGAAGACATAAATATCACATACATTAGATTATGACAATCTACTTCCATGCCATTAGTAGAACAATATTGGGAATATTAGCTTTCTTTAGGGTTTCCATTGTTATGCATCCGCTTTGGGCGATAAAACGTCCCGCTTAGCTGTTAACATTACCTTCTTTGGTTAGATGTATAAGCCACAAAACCATTATATTTCAGGAAATAAATAAGTCTCATGGGCAAAATGTACAGTTATATGTAGCTTTCACCAGGGACCAAACCAAAATCTCAGCGTTACTGCTTCTTGTACGGATAACATGTGTTTAGGCTGAGAAGATATCTAGTAGAAGAGCTGAGTACTATTTTAAAGCGATTCAGAAAACTCGCTGAAATGTATGATTTTCCGACTAAAATCATCAAGTGCATGGACACTGAAATATCACTGCTTCTTAATCTGCCTCATATGAGACTCTAGTGGGATGTCGGAACAGTAATCCAAATCTCATTGTGAACTAACGTCGTCAGGTAGGTGCTTCAATAAATGCACATTATAAGATAAGTTCTTCTGACCATATCCTTTGAGAAAATTGAGTAAATAAGTTATGACTGATTCCGTTGCGCTTTTATGTAATCTTGGATGCGCCAACGAATACATCGCTAATACTAAACTCTTAAAAGTATAGTAAAAGGTTTGTGGTAAACATTTTTGAAGAATCACGGAACCTAAATATAGAAGGAACAGTCGACATTCTGTCGCTTTCCATACTGAAATGAAGTCTAATATTCAACATTTACGCTGAAAGTTGGAAGGAGTACTTGGTATACAACTTGATATTAATTTATTTATATCTCAAACCACATATTTGTCCACGTTACATAGTCTTTTGTTGGACAACTTTATCCATGGTCTGATTAGTTTCTCTATCAAACTTAAGCATATAATGTGCACTTGACCTAAAGTGAAAGTTAGAATCATATCAATGCTAAGCGTTTCGAAGTTTGAATGACCTTGATGGTAAAAGGATTGAATCTGTTGACGAAAACTATCATCAAATCCCAATGTATATTCACCCTTTCGAATGGTCATCTTTCCGCCAATGCACCAACCCACCGCAACACACTTATTACAATCTGCATTCCCATTGTAATCAATAGTGCACCTAACATCTAAACGAGCAGGTGAGTCACGTACTACAGCTACCAGTTTGGTGGACATAACATCAAGCAGACAAACGTCCCTCAGTTCTTTTAGTTCCGAAATGGTATCCGCAGATATTCCATTGAATTCCGCAAATACCTATCATGAACATGACATTAAACCTAGGGGCAACGATGCGTCCTGATATAGACCATAACTGATGACTAGAGCTCCTCGAACTAGAAAGTTCATTTACACTAATATGCAAATCAATCATAATAATATCACAAGTAGACAATCAAAGTTGGACATATCTTGGCAGGTTGGTTCTTAATCCGAGATGTTAGTAAACTTCACTGCTGACGAACGTGGGTTGGAAATTGATGCTGCTTGGTAAGTCAGGGACAAGATTTCGAAAAGCGTTCAGGATGCGATCAGCATCTTTGACGGTTTGACAGCCGTTTGTCATCAAACTCATAAGTGCCATGTTAATTTGTTCTTTCTGGTTTAGGTACGCTTGTGAACACGAGCAAACTTCATTACATCCTACAGGAAACGGATAAACGGATCCAATTCCTTTTCGTGCCGTTATCATCCAGTCACCTTCCGTTATTGTGGCTACCAGATGCTATCACTGTTGATAGATTCTCATCACAATGAAATGCAGTGGTGACTGCATAAACGGCAACATAAATCACTGGTAAATCCAATTACCGTTGATCATGCTTTCATTTGCAAGTTAACTACACGAAATGAAGTCGTGTTTTTTCAGGGGCATCCTTCGCATTTTATTCCACCTACGGTTATATGTCGACCTATGACAAGCGGGTGAAATTGATAGGCCCATTGTTGCCCTCACGACTATGAACACTCTCACGGACGTTTACTGAATACTTCTTATAGGACGAACTAGGTAATTAGTGACAATGAACACAAACACAGAGAGCAAGCTATTTACATGCACGTCGTAAGCTATGTATGATTGTCACCAAGTATATGCAAACAGCCCGGTTAAACAAAAACAACAAACTTTGGGTACATAGATCTCACGAAATTCATTGTGTCTGTATATTTAGACATGCATTATTGATGGTTGTTCTTGTTTGTTATAACACAATTCACTGGTTTGTAAATGTTTATGGGTAAGTTAGCACAGGAGGCTGCATATTCAAACGAGGTACTTTACATATATTTGTCTGCAAATTTCCCGCAAATACACGATGTAAGGGGGCAAAAATAGACTTTTCCTATTATTTACTTTGTCGTCCGCTTTATTTCGCCTTAATTGGTTGCTTGAGTGACACTTGTGAGAAATGAAGAGGAAGTATGGGATGAGACTTCAGTCTCATGAACATCGAAGGTAGGTGGCAGTTGTTTGAAATAATCCATATCAAATCAAGGTAGCTGCCTAATCTTTGGAATTCGCGAGATTTTACAATCATAAATTTGACTTTCGAACACCGACTTCTCTATAATACAAGGAGTCACAAAATATAAATCAGTCACAGCAACAAAAATTCCGTACCTTAACATACAATCGTCCAGTTTTATGAATATGCTCATTGTACCAGTTTAATAACCATTTATTTATTTTTTTTAACAGACATTTGCCAGTTTGGAGAATTTCCCTTTAATAATGGAGCGAAAATAATTATAATGTCCTCATAAAACGTGAATAGATATCCAGCGTCTGCACATTTGTAGATCATCAAAGAAGATAATCTATGTTGAATAACTAGGGGCATACTGGAGTTAGACAAGAATGGTGTGACCAACAGCTAACGTCGAAGTTACGCCTCGCAGTCAGCACCTAACGTGAGTTACTCCTTCATCGTATCAAGGTACTACGGATGCTTTGAAGACTGCACAGCACAAAGAACGTTGTTACGGAAATATATTATTTAAAGTAAGTAAGTACAAGCAAAGGAATGACCGCCACTGCATCAGCCAATTCATGGCGTGTGCTGGTTTTCCTTGACCTTGTTGGGGATCGGTAAATTGTTCGACATTCAGCGACCCAAAAACTGGAGTATTCGGCTAAGTCTCGGAGACATTTCACTTGCCATATATGCCCATTAGAAAGTTTAAAATCATATTGTTTTAAATGATTTTCAATACAATGAATTAGATCTTACATGTGTTTCAGTATTTTTTGAGTAACTAAGTGACGTAACTGTTTCCGAATACGCACATACCTGTACTACATGCATGCTGTAACTTGAATATCTCATGAACAACTTTGACCTCTCACCCCTATTTATCGTTCGATGAATAAATGCGTTAGAATCAAATAGCTCGTAAATATCTGCGGTAATGACTATAGGTATAGGTGATAAATGTCTGAGTCCTATTAAGTTTTCAAGAGAAGAAAAATCATTCCGAACTCACTACATGAACATACCTGCAGAAGTGAAGAAAGGGCTGCTAGGTTGCGAATGAAAAACCACCTAGAACGAGGAACAGATGAGATACTTCCATGATAGAGACTCTGATCATTGACGAAAGAGCACTGGTTAAAACCATGAGTCGATGCTTTATCTAATAATAAAGCAAATTGATGTCAGTCACTCAGTTTTACCGATGTATACCGAGGCAAAAAGCAACTGTTATGTGATTTCTAAGTAGTACAGTAGTACCGAATTTAACTTAGTTGTTTAATTCACTATGTTCAGGGTTGAAGTATTTGGTAAACGGTCCGGACCACCAATCACGCAGATACTAACTTGAAAATCGCTACATATCAACGCGAACCGACGTCCTTGTATTCCGTAGTCAGACTACTATATAAGACTTTAGGGTACACGCTCCCTGCCGTGACACTGTAAGAATAAGTTGATGGCCGTATAAGTGAACTTATGTAAAAGTAAAAAAGTTACAATAACAGACGTCTGGTTATCAAAAAGCTTAGCCATGGTCATTGAGAAAAATCGATTTTGACAGTGTGGGCGAGGACAAACCAGGAAATTAGAAAAGATGTTGGAAGCGGTACGTGAAAGGTACATTTCGGAAATCATTAAATTGCATAACGAAGCGAGCCTCAACCTGGAATCCCGGAAGGACACGGAAAAGCGGATGACCATGTACCCATAAGATGTTCGTGAATAATGATATTAATAATAAATACACTGCGTAGGGAATAGGAGGCAGACATGAAAAGAATGAATAGCAACTGGAAGCAACCGGAAAAGATTGCTCAGGGCAGAGTTGGATATAGAATTTTGGTGGGCGGCATATACTCTACGACGAGGAGTAGCAGGCGTAAGTAATTAGGTTGAGGTATTGAATTGTTTTCCTGGTTAGCGTGGTTTTAGCGAGTTAGGTTTCCACTGGATGGGGTCTCCAAACCCTCTGCCCAACCCTACTCCTTCATCCAGTATTGGGATCGGCATTGGCCCCAGAGCGGCTCCAGGAGGAGTTCCAGGTATCGATAGACTGGTAAATAAATCAGAATCAAGTCGGTCATATAGTTACTTGTTCACCGACTTCTGTGCTTATAGAGACAAAAACATAGACGAATTAGATCTTTGGCGTGTGCACACGGCAACATGTATTCACTGAGACGTCCATAAGCACGTCTTGCACGTGAAGCATCAACAACATATATTATGCCCTTGTCTTGGAAGCAGTTGAGTTCTGCAGTTATTTAGGGTCTCAAAGGATCTACAGAAATATATCCTGTACAGGGATGGTTGTGCAGAATGTTAGTGAAGGTGACCTTCAACTTACACATCGCTGCACGGATCCAAAATCCAGATAAGCAGTGGCATTATTTAAAGATGAAGGATAAGGTCGTTTGGAATGAATCATACGTAGATGACCGATGTCATCTTTGTCTGAGTTGTCGTGATGAGCTAGAAGATGCATGCTCCTCGGAGGAATGTTTATCACCATCATCATCTAAATTCTGAAGACAAGCATCTGATTCCGATGCACTGATTCTGTTCACAAGTATAAACAGATCTGATGAAAAAAATACCTTGAAGTAGGGTTATCTTTGTTCTTTTTACAGACTGACATGACATATTTAGTGTACTCATACTTTACAAAAAATTATCAATCGTAGAAGTAATATTACTTCATTCGAGCAGGTCTCAAAATCGCCCCGAAAGGTTAGTCGTCGCGATAACTTATCATCAAATACTTGTCCTGCATCATGCGTCATTACGACGGAATCAGTTTCGTTACTTGAAGAATGGACATTATGAGACACTGTGGTTGAATTCAATCACGTTGAAGACTGTCTCGATTTGACCGCTCCTGTGGAACCCTGTTAATTGTCGAGATGACGCATTAATCGTTTTACGAAACTTTGACCTACAGGATCTCAGTAACCTTCAAAATTAGACGATACACTAAGTCGTTGCCGCTTCAGAATACAAATAATCCAGGTATGTACAGCTTAGGTACAGACACAAGTGAAGTAGGAATTAAATCGGTGTTTTACCAAATTGGACACAGTTACAAAGAGCTTTTTATTAGGTTTGGAAATCAAGCGTTAAACCGGTCTGAAAAAGTTATTGTTACACGAAAAGAAATACTAGCTGTCGTGAAATTCGTACGGAAGTACAGACCGTACCTTCTTGGCATAAATTTCATGCTAAGTACTTACTATGAAGCTCCCCAATGGCCACAGAATTTTGGGAGAGAAAACGACGTATTGGCAAGACTGCAAAACTTCGGTTTCGAGCGTATCCATCGACTGGGACGCCAACATAAAGTTTCAGATTTCTTATCGCAACAGCCTGTTGTGTCACACTGAGACTGTCCCTATTTTAGTGTAATCAACATTCATCCCGTCTCTTAAGCAAGACTTGATAATACAGTGGGCACATATACAAGAAATAGATGGTGAGGCACTACTACTGTGTCGAGCTGTCCGCGGCAATTGACAAAGGCCACCTAACACGGAAATTAAAGGGAAAAGTCGGAAGACAAAGTGTTTGTGGGACCAGTTAGTATTGGCGTAAGTTATCCTGTGTTCAATCGGTACTACGAATAGTGCCACAACGTATCGCTACAGCAATGTTGGATAAAGTTCATGCCAATAATTGGCACTCTGGAAATGACAAGATGGATCAGGGAATTGAAATAAGATATTGGTGGCCGTAGGACATTTAGGGTTTTCTGAATGGTTTTCAGGTTTGCTGGAACGTGATAAACGCGGCTGGAAGATAGCGAGTGCTGTTAATTGATATGGAGGTTTGGTCCCTGGGAGTTGATACAATCGGACTACTGGGAGATATAACAAGAAAGCATATACATATTGATTATGGCAGATCATTCCACGAAATGGTGCGAAGCCATCCCACTTGGTAGAATCAATGCTCGTACGGTAGCAAAATCATTGTTTGACAGCTAGATTACCGTATGGGGTGCATCCGGGCAACTACATTTCGATCAGTGATCTAATTTTAAAAGTATATTGATGTGAGGATTATGCTTCAAAAACACTACCCAAACCTTTATCGAGGCGGAGGTAGTGGCATGGGATACCCTACTACACCCTCGTTTGTGAGTATACTAAAGTAGCAAACAGGAGTCAACAGGATATTCGCTACACTGTGGCTGGGAAAAGACATATGTCTTCTCAGTGATACAGCCGTGGCAAGTCAGTGGGATAATCTTATTGTGTTCGAAATGGTGGTTCCGTTAAGAAGTGATATTATATACAATCATGGCTGGGTCTGAGAGAACCTAGGAAAAACCCAACACAAGCAGAAGACACATTGTGACCGGAAGAGTTTGGGCACTCCTATGGAGATAAGAAAGCTTGGTTTAAGCAGCCAAATGTTATTAATCAACGAGGAGTTGGGCAAAGAAATAAGTCAACTGGACACTACTGGGTTAATCGACAGATAACAGAGAGTACTTATGACATCATTGAAGAGGGAAAAGAAAAAATAGAGAGCTTACTTGTACATTCCAACCTATTGAAGAAGCGAAGTAGTAGTGAAACTTCTAACCCTGTTAATCTTATTACTACAAGTGCAAATGATGTATAGGAAGAAATGAACATGACTTGTTTTTAAATCAATCGAAAATTGTACCGTTCGTACACAGTCATGATTTATTTCTTGTTGAACATTGTGTGAAATGAGTAATTCAATCTTAGCTTCTTCTCTACTCATTTGGTCCCACAAATTGTTAACTTTTTTTGTCATTATAATTCTTTAAAATAGCTGCTAGGTATTGTGATTGACTTGATATTTAGCACCATACGTTCCAAACCATAATCATTTTACTACTTATTGGTTTGTTGCTTCCGATATGTATTCTTATCAGTTCAAATACTTTATTTCGGCTCGTTTTCCCTTCTGCGCTGTTGTAAAGTATGAACTCAAATCAATACATTCCTGCGTGAAGCTTCATTTTTTTATTCTCTCAGTTTTCGACTCACCATATTTTCACGATAGCACTTTAATTATCTTGTCCCACTTGTAAACCACACATAGTTGTTCCAATTAATTAAAAAAACAACTCGAAACTTTTGTAAAGATACATTTTGGGAATAAATTCTATTCTTGATGTCCGTTTTATTGTACAGATTAACGATTGTGATTTAACTGTCGATAAGATAGATGATATATGTCAACTTACTACTTTTTTGCAGCAGAGGTGTGAAGATTTTGAGCAAAATATCGTTCATAATAGAAGTATGATAGATTGGCGAGTTTAAGGTAGAAAGAGAAGTATGTAGCGTAAAAAGCAGTTCGAAAGTAACAAATCCAGATAAAAAATGGCAGTTTAGGAACAATGGGATATTTAAGATCTAAGGCAAGATAGAGAATAAAGCGACAGCACCACGTCCACTGATTTTAGGCTACATAGCGCATCCCAAGATTGCAGTTATCTTACAGGTTCTAGGTAGGATTTTCGAACTTGCTGACAGCTCAAACTGAAAGTCGGTGATCTCATTGGTTAATACCTCTTCTTTACCTCCTAGACTTAAGTGCATAAACTCGGACTAAAAACAGGCTATCAGTGTTTCCTCTTTGAATTGAAACAGTTTCAAGCCACAGACAGAAAATTTTTCGGTTATTGATGGTAAGTATATGGGGGGTTTGTCTGTAATCTTTTTCTGAAATCATCACTCAGATGTCCGACATTGAGTACTCGCTTTATTTATTTGGTTACGGGTCCCTGAAATAACGTAATAATGTTTCATGATTGTTAGGTTGGATGTCAATTAATACTTGTAGGCTATGATGAACTACCCATGATTAACTAATTGAATGCCATGTTAATTCCATTTTAGGTCTATATGTTTAAAATTTTTTATAGTCAATTGCAATAACGTGAAGTTTTCCTTATAGTTCTGCTGTGTTGAGATTAGTGGTATGTTCCTCAGATTTTTAAAAGTCTTCATTATTTGGAAGGGACAAATTATGCTAAATAATCTGTTAAATTCCTGTGCTTTTTCAAATGTCCCAAAAAGATTTTCCTTAAAAACGATGTCTACTTTGGTGTATCGTAACAAAAACCCAAGGTTAGAAAACTTTTACGGAAGGCATAGTTATAGAAATCTTGAACTTCTTGGTCTAGCACCGAAAACGAAAGGTTGGGAATTTCAAGCTCCACGAAAAGACTTCTGGAATAAGTAATTTTTATTGGTATATTTTACTTTATATTAATCCAGAGTAGTCTTAAATAGAGAACCTCATAATACAACAGGTCTTGTTGTTCATGCTTCTTCAAAAGTGCTGATCTCTGCTTCAACTAAAGAAGTTAGCATCAGAAAACATTTATATAGGTATTATTTTTGAAAATGCTACATCTTTTAGTTGTATTGATGTTTCAGCTGCAGAAAATGTTGGAAGAGTGTTGGCCTTAAGATGTCACCAATGTGGTTTCACGGAGTTATTTTCAGAAACGAGCGAGATATATAAAGAAAACGAAAGCGTATGTTCTCTGTCGTTCATATTTTAGATAAAAATAGACTAGAGCTTTCTACGAGTCCTTGTTGAATGGTGGTATACAACTGAAGGAGACACCACCTATTGAAGAGTTGGATGCCATTGGGATAGATTATGACAGTATGTCAGATGAAGAAAAACGTGCTATGTATCCGAGCCTTATTGAAACACTTCGTACTACACCCGACTGGGATAACATCCCTTATCCGTATTCACTTAGACCTAGAGCAGGTTCATATAAACTAAAAAGTCGTTATCAAGTAAGTTTAATTTTATTTTACTAACACTATATTTTTTCCTCATTTATTTTTTTAAATCGTTGTAATGCTTATGTTTTGTTCTGAGTAAAATTGGCGAAACTCGCCTAAAAATATGTGCGTGAGCAGTTTATTTGTACGATTGTTAACATAACAGGATCCAAATTCACATTTGTTTGCCGTTATCACATGCATTAAGTAGGTTTTATAATCTTTTCGACTTCGATATTAGTACTATATTTAATGACATGTCTTACTGATGATTTTCATTCTTTTGTTACAGATTCTTTCAAAAATCCGTCAAGGTATGGTATGGGATCCATATTACTTGAGAATGGTGCATCCACAAAACAAAGCTTATTGGCAGCACGACTATGAAGAGTTGCAAAAGAAGAAACTTGAGTCTTTGGGAGACTTAAACGAGAGTGAAGAACCAGTTAAAACAATTGTTCCATCTAAGTGGCAGTTAATGTAAAACAGTTCAACTAATACAAATTAAGTTGTATACATACTATAATGTACATAAAATGATTTTACTGATACAAGGTTTTCATTGTTTTCTCTACACAGACGGGGATTTAACATGTCTCATTCTAAATTATCGTAAGTTATTTATCTTTACTTTTTAGTTGTGGTGTCCTCCTGACACTTTGCAGTCTGGATATTCAGTTATTCATTCAGTACTGAAGTTTGTGAAGCAGGTTAATAACTTTCATCTTTCTTCATTGGTAATATCTTGGAATCCTAACTTACGTTTCTCCATTTGACGGTTTCAGTTTTCCTATGTAGCTCCTTGATGAAGACGATATTGAAATATAATTCCCCATTTAGTTACGTATATCATACTTGAGTTAACCCCATTGTGCAATGGTGGTAGCGAAATGTCAAATATGAGATCTATTGTGAGAATTTATTTCAGGTATTGGTATATGAGCAGACAAACCGTAAATATAAATCAAATTAACGAATTTGGGATGATAGTTATCAGCCTACTCGAAGCGTGAATCTTTTTATGGGTTTATATATAATTCACAAAGTGACGAGTGATAGAATCACATGCATAGTAGGCCATCATTACATATGGAAAATTATTTACTTCAGTAATTGAGCATATTAATACAGATGAATGGAATTTCTAAGGGCGTGAAGTTTGTTCGATTTAATGTTACTACCTACTCATCACTTCTTTCGTTCTATGAATAATCAGAAACGCAGTTTTAACCCCGCCACGAAGAGTCTACTTTCAACAAGTATGGTGATTTTATAAAAATATATCAATTTTCCTTTTTTTAATGAGTTGATTTGTCTACGAAGATTTATCATAATAACCGAGAAGATGCATATTCTAAATGTCACTATTGTGGAATCTCGTACTAATAATTGAATGAGTCAACTGGATCTTTAGTATGTTATAAATGATATACATTTAATACCAAAGTAAGTATGTAGACTTTTCCGTCTAGATTGCAAAATGTGTGACTGGACCGTTAATAATATTTTACATAACACAAAAATAACGTCCGGCCGCTCATGATTATGATCCGTCGGCCACCTTTTGGCTGGATAAAATCCATCTATCATCTAAGCATGAACGAAAGATCCACAGCTAATGGTTTTTTGAACCATTAAATGCAGTATATTTTGTGAAACCTTTCTCGTGCCGATGAGTATTTTGTCGGTCACTATGGATGGATTTTCATACTACACATGTATTTCACGTAAAAGTTCTTTTTGTTATGGCTATCATGGATAATTTAATGAGAGAACGTTTCACTTACCTAATCTATTAATTGTCAAATAATCTCTTATTCTGTTGGGAATCCAACATCCACAAACATCTCTCTAAAAAACTTCGCTGTTAAAAATAGACATGTGAGATAACACCACTGGGGTAGTAAACATTGCGAATTGGTAATGAAACTGCGGTATATTTCGAAATTAAACTTTTCGCTGGACGTTTGAAACTCTGTTTTTAACTGTTCTTAATGGGTACGGAAGATCCACCTAGGGGAGTTGAAAAATCTTGGTTTAAAACCAATGGTGGACATGGACTCCATCATTCTAAGGGAACAAATGGCTTACGAACCCATTGTTGATCACCGGCTACCATAGGACTGCATCTTCTATCGTCCCTTCACCGTTTTGTGAATTAGACCTCTAGGTCAAAGGTTTTGGTTATGGTCCCCTAAGAAAACCACCTGCTTCGGTTTGGGCACCCAGGTAGTATTGTAGTGAAGGAGAACACAGGTGAGGACAACCGAAAGCCTTAGTATCGATGTCTCTCCGAGACCCGTATTCAAGACTAGTGAAATACTACAAATTCGCTCTCCATCGGTCACTTCGAAGGCTTGTTTCACGTGCGTTTATCCGAAGACACTGGCAAATTCGTCTGGTTTTGTTGGTGTCTCACTAAGCGCTAGAGCTGAGGCAGCACTCACAGAAAAGGATCGTTCAGACGGCCGATGGGGACTTGTTACTCGCAGGTCAGATAACTGTGACCGTTTACTGCAACTTTGCGCATATTACAACATGTTTCTGGCTAGCACTAACTACCGGTACAGTAATCGCCGATGTGCTATCTGGCGTCCTCCCTCTACATTTCAAGCCTGGACTGATTACATCACGGTCAGTTACCGCTGGCGTGGATGTGTACAAGACTGCTGCTCCTTTTGGAGTACCTATTTGGACTCTGATCATGCCCTTGTTTGAGCTCATTTTACTTTACGTTTCAGTGGCCAGCAATTTATCGTCCTATATGGATCGACGTCATCAAATTGGTTGCAGCTCCTGTTGCAACTAAATATCAAACCGAGCTAGGTTCAAGGTTAACTACCATCCCACTGAAAGGTATAGATGAGCATTGACTGCAGTCGCACGAAGACAAGAAAAGTGAGACTTAAGTCTCGCGGTTTCGCGAAAAATCTCGCTTACAAGCATTGGGTTTTTACAGGCTCATTGTAGCTTATTGAAGCGTGTCGGTGTGGTTCAACTGACCACTAGTCTGACCACAAACGAAAATTGTTACGTAATGTAATTGTGCCAAGCTTGAGTAAGGACCGAAAATCTTGGTAGTGAGAGCTCTTTCAATTCACCAGAGTCACTGGCTGTATGATATCTGGCGTGAAACAATCTGTGAGGCTAACGGGATGCCAATCAATAACACCTGCCGACGTCTTGGACGATGGGAAAATTTTCCAGCAGCAGTTCAACTGGCCTGCCGTCCCGGCTACATAGATCAGACTGCCGTGCCCACCATGGCGGGTGACGACTGATCCACCAAATGAGGCGGAAGTCCGCAAGTAGCTCCAGCTGTTTATTTATTTATTTATTTGAACACATGAATATTGATACAAGAGAGCGCCAATATATATGCGCCACACAAAACAATGAGAATTCGAAGAGAACTAGAAAAAAAATAGAACAATAACGAAGACTTTGGTGTAAGGTAGTGTGGAAGTAATGAGGGAACGCAAAGGTACAATCGGAAGAAATCTTTCAGGTAAGGGAGATACGACCACTTTTTATGAAGAAAGTAAAAGAAGGTTACAGCAGGATCGCCACCGGCTTCTATTCTGGGCCATATCTGAAAACGTCTCTAGCCACTGTGTTGCACCATCTCTCGGACCCCAACCAGGGAGTAGTGAAGGACCAACAGAAGCCAGTCCTGTACAGCTTTCTTTCATGCCACGACACAATGTCATGCACTGACCACCTCTCCGCTTCTTCCACCCAGTCCCAGAGTCGGCAAATAATGCACGACGTGGAATTCTCTGGAACGACATTCGTAGAACATGTCCGAGCCACCGAAGTCGATGTTTCAAGATGGTGACACCGATTGCATTATCGTCTCTGTGCCCGAACACACGATGCCGAACCTCTGCATTACTAACATGATGTTATCACTAGATGTCAGCAATCCTTCGGAAACAACGATGATCGAACACAGAGAGTCGTCTAACATCCTCAACTCGGATAGACCAGGTTTCACAAGCATAGAGCGAAACTGCTCTCACCGACGCGTTGTAGATCCGAACTTTTACAGCCAGACTAACATCATGAAGGCGCCAAAGGTGGCCCAGATTGGCATAAGCCGCTCTGGCTTTCACTATTCGTGCATTGATCTCATCACTCACGCCAACACCAGCATTTATGTAGCTACACAGATACACGAACTTCTCGACTACTTCTATCTACTCACTACCCAGGGTGAGTACAGGATTAGAACCCCTCCAGTCTTGTAGAAGTACTTTGCACTTCGAAGGTGCAGAACACATGCCATACCTACGGACATTGATTGCCAACCGATTAAGTGCTGATTGTGTGGCTTGGGTATTATTGCACAGTAAGACAATATCATCCGCACACTCAAGGTCGAAAAGTCTTTCTCCAGGTAACAGATCCACACCGCTATTACTTACATCCATCAGAGCTGTTCCCAGAATGTCATCGATAGCAAAGTTGAAGAGGAATGGTGAGATTGGGCAACCCTGCCTAGCCCCACTGTTCGAATGGAACAGTGGAGAGAGGTGGTTGTATGCCTTCACTCTGGTTAAGGAACTAACTGATTCATTTACACAGGTATGACAATTGGAGAGTGTTCCAACATCATGTAGTGAGTCATTAGTTGTCCCTATCTTTAAAAAGGGTTCACGTCGTCCCTGTAACAACTATCGGAGAATAAGTCTACTTATGATTGCGTCCAAACTATTGGCTTTCGTCAAACCTCATAGATTGTTCAAAACCTAGGAAAGATTGACTCACAAAGATCAGGGTGGTTCCCATTCCGGTCGAGGATGCATTGAGCAAATCTCCTTCCTCCACCAAATGTCAGAACACCGTCATACTTATCACAGGCCAACAATCGTAATGCTTCTTGACGTTAGGCTCTCGTCTAATTCATTGGGCCACACTGTTTTCTGGGATTATCTATTGAGGAAGCGTGTGCCTGAGAAGTTGACTAACATCTTAGAAACCCGATATACAAACATCTCAGGCAGAGTGAGGACATACAACCACCTCTCTCCACTGTTCCATTGAAGCAGTGGGGTTAGACGACAGGGCTGCTCCACTTCACCGTTTCTCTTCAACTTTGCTATCGATGACATTCTGGGAACAGCTCTGATGGATGTAAGTAATAGCGGTGTGGATCTGTTACCTGGAGAAAGACTTTTCGACCTTGAGTGTGCGGATGATATTGTCTTACTGTGCAATAATACCCAAGCCACACAATCAGCACTTAATCGGTTGGCAATCAATGTCCGTAGGTATGGCATGTGTTCTGCACCTTCGAAGTGCAAAGTACTTCTACAAGACTGGAGGGGTTCTAATCCTGTACTCACCCTGGGTAGTGAGTAGATAGAAGTAGTCGAGAAGTTCGTGTATCTGTGTAGCTACATAAATGCTGGTGTTGGCGTGAGTGATGAGATCAATGCACGAATAGTGAAAGCCAGAGCGGCTTATGCCAATCTGGGCCACCTTTGGCGCCTTCATGATGTTAGTCTGGCTGTAAAAGTTCGGATCTACAACGCGTCGGTGAGAGCAGTTTCGCTCTATGCTTGTGAAACCTGGTCTATCCGAGTTGAGGATGTTAGACGACTCTCTGTGTTCGATCATCGTTGTTTCCGAAGGATTGCTGACATCTAGTGATAACATCATGTTAGTAATGCAGAGGTTCGGCATAGTGTGTTCGGGCACAGAGACGATAATGCAATCGGTGTCACCATCTTGAAACATCGACTTCGGTGGCTCGGACATGTTCTACGAATGTCGTTCCAGAGAATTCCATGTCGTGCGTTATTTGCCGATGCTGGAACCAGTTGAAAAAGGCGGAGATGTGGTCAGCGTACGATGTAGTGTTATGGTACGAAAGAAAGCTGTACAGGACTGGCTTCTGTTGGTCCTTCACGTTTCCTTGGTAGGGGTCCTAGAAATAGTGCGACTGAATGTCTTGAGACATTATCAGACGACTCAAAATAACGGCAGTGGAAATCCTATTGTAACTTTTTTTGCGTCATAATGGTGATAGGAACTTTGACTGGAACGATCCTTTCTGATAGTTTAGTGCACAAAACACCACTGGGGACAATCGTATATATTTGACACTAAATTACAGAGCATCTCAATAAAATCTGAGAACCATATAGTAAATAGTTAATTTGAAAAATATCAGTCTATCATCTCAAACTCGACTGTCCCCGTTGCGAACAATATTATTATCATTATTTTCACTGTCATATACTAATTTCTATCCATTTTTGTTCTTTTTTATTATACTCACATTCCTTTCTTTATTTCTTTACAATATGAACGTGTATAATTTTGTTTCTTTTTACAGGTATTATCATTTTTAATATCATATTAGCTGCATGTTGATTTACAGTAACCCATAAAATTACCGAATTTGAATTTAAACGACATTATCGAAACAGTTACATCTATTTTGACCTAGGCTGTCCAATAGTATCGGTAGCATGGATACACATGATGTGACTCAGGGTCAATTACACAAAATTTAAATAAAGAAATGTATCCAAATGTTCAACAATATGTTGTTTATTACTGTTATATAAAATAAACATTAATGAATAACATGAAAGGTTAATTAATTAATTAAATATGGGTAAATACCATATACGTTCATCAAAGATTTGATGTTTTACACATTTTAATTTTTACGAATCACGTGACTAACATGTAATTGAGAACATACAAGTCTTTTCATTCATGGGCTCGTGATTTAATGGATGTATTTAGTGTTAAATAGCCAGGTTCTAAATAAGTTTTCATGTTTACCTTTTTAATCCCAGTTGAATAGTGTTTTGACTCTGTTTTATGAATTACTTCTTCGCTTTTCTACTACCTCCTTTTCTTCCACGTGCCAGTTTTCTTGTTTTATATGACCTCCAAAATGCTTGTATTGTTATAACGGCTTGTTCCATTTGGCGTCTTTGTTCTTCCTCTCTTTGCCGTCTTTCATCCTCTAGCCTACGTTCTTCCATTATCTTTTGATACTCTTCATTTATAATCTAAATCCAAAGAACCTTAATTAATTAGATGGTTATTATTAATGATTTAAAATATCTTTTGATACTTGACATTTTTCCAAGTAGTAAGCATTTTGTGGCGAAATGTATGATATCACACTAAACAATAGCTAGTTACTTGCCTATATATGGTTAATGGACTATGATTTTTTCGTATTAGTGTATTACAGTCTACATTTTATTGTGGTTAAATTTTGTTAGATCAATTAAATTCTGAAAGTGGAGAATTTTACTTCAGGAAATGTTCATCAAGTCAAATTCTTAAACTTTTATAAATGCGAGATGAATGAATTGTACAAAGTTATGAGATAAATGTCTGAAGATTAGTAAACTATCCATGAAGTACAAAATAGTAAAGTATCAATAATTCTCCGTCGATGAGGCCGACTTAAAACACAGATCTATGGTGATAGGTTATAAATATTTTAGATCATTAAGTGGAAAATTGCTCCAGATAAATATTCTATCAGTCCTAACTTTTAATCTCCTAATTAACACTACATAAAATCTATCAGTTTCACAGAAAACTGCACTCATGTTGAAGCTGATAATCAAACTAATAAACTGTATCAAATTCTGAGTAATCATTTCTCAGTTTAAGTTTATTAACAATAATGGAAGAACACTGTTCATAGCATAGATTATGCAAAAAATGGTATGTTGTCAGGAAAGCCGAATATTCCAACTACAGAAATTGATTTTTGTATGTCGTTTGTAGATATTGTGGGATTTTTATAATTAACTCACAAACTGATCATAGATAGACAGCTATTGAAGACTAAAAAACACTGTAAAACTATTTCTTCTTAGCGTTGGACTCCTTAGCAGTCAGCATTCACCAGTCTACTACTGGGGATCGAAGCCAGGACCTTTGGTCTCGCGTGCGAACGCTTAACGTTTAAGACTATTTAGAACAGGCATCTAATGTTCTACATGTTTAACTTCGATCGATTCACGAGATTGCGTGACCATCTTTCATTGCCTGCGGTTAGTAACTGTCTCATACGACACCGTTAAACTTCACTGGCCATGGCTTCTCACTGGGAATCCCGAGACTGCCTACAAGTTTACACTGACGAAATCTGATGCCGAAGACGAGTCATCGATTTTTACCAGGTCAGCCATTTAATTTGGCTGTTCTTAACCCTAAACATAGTCTGAGAATTTCGTCGGATGCTATAAACGTCTATCCAGCTATTAATTCATATAGTGTTGGCATCAGATTTTGATGAGGAAAATTCTCTGTAAAAAGCTTTCTGTTTTAAATCGTATATAATTATGAGCTCTTTCAACCACTAAGCAGTACTTCGAGGACTTTGATTATTGGACCTGGGAAAATTAGCATCAGCTGCTTTCACGAGAATGAATCGCTTCGGCAGTTATTAAATAATGATCATAAAAGTCCTATTAAAAAAGTGTTGAGTCGGCTTTCCGAGAACTGCAATGGAGCCTCCAGAGGCCCTAAAGAAGCCAGAGTCCCAGCCAATCAGAGCATGATGGAGCTTTCTCGAATATCAACTTGGCGTGCTACTATTGGTCAGTAGCACAATATGTCTTTTAGCGGATTGGCCAAAATATGATGCTGATTTAACAAATGTTAACATCTATAAATACCCGTGTTTTTCTGTACAAAAAGGAACTTTTGGAGTGAAGTGTTGCGCTTTTTCTCTCGAGTTCAATTCCCTGCATAGTTCTATCTTGCGGGTGACCAGAATAGCTTAGTAACCGAATAAAGCGTTCAAATTAACAAGACTTATCAAAAATGTATCGTTTTTTCCAGTTAGTTACACAAAAAATGTTACAGAAACTTAATAGCTGAACTCCATATATACCTAGAACATTTTAGAATCTTCTTAAATAATTAGCATATTTCCTGCGTCAGAATTCAATGGAGAGTAGAAGTTGCCGGAATACAAATTTACTAAAAAAAATCGGTAAACATTCAAGAATGATATGGAACGGGCAAGGTCTAAAATGCACCGATAACTATTAGTTATTAGTTAGTGTATAAACTTTTTTCACTAAGACTACGTTGAAGTAAATATTTGTTAGTATAACTATCATTTTAAGAGATGGGTAAGAGATTTCTTATTTGGACATATTGTTCAAAATTGTACAGTAGTTTGGTTTGATTTGTACTTCAAGTCAGCTACAAACGAACATCTTAATGACTAGTTAATCCAAATATGAACTACATAGGAAGCTCTGTATTTCAATGAATATTGCTTAGCAAATCTTTGTGTACAAATAGTTCCAGTGATCTGAATAGTATTAACGTAGATGTTGATTTTCAGACTTGACTTTTAATGAATCAGCTTCCCTACTATTCATCTGCAGCTTGCTAGTATATATTATTCTCTCCACTTTGGTTAAAAGCAGGAAAGGCAATAAAAAGACTTGTCTGATATATAGTTTTCACTATAATTCAAAGTATACGATTACCGATGATAGTTAGGTTACCGAAGATTTCACATCTTCCATGAGTAGCAGATTTCAGATATAAATTGATAACCATCCTAATCTATGGAAAAATTTGAAAGTCTTCACATAACAAATGTAGGCAAATTAGTCTAATTAATATGATTTCAGTGCCTCTTATGTGTACAGGTATATAGGAACAATTAGTTACTCACTAAATATTTGTTTTATCGGGTTATTAAATGAAATCCCTCTCACTTTTGTTAGATTACCTTTGTATTAAATTGTAAAGTTAAAGTAGTACTATGCGAACGTATTTCATTTGTAGATACACTTTTCTCAATCTCTAACATGCCTATAAATCCTGATATTATAGAACAATACAAAATCTTATTAACACACTTTGTTGTGTGTCCTTTAAAGTGCTGTTTATAATGTGTATCATTTAAAAACATTAAATTCCATATCTAGTAGACAATTTTGTCCTACCTGAAAACGTTCATTCAGTTCATCGTAAGCGCTTTTCTCCTCTGTATACTCCGCTTCCAGGGCATCATATTCATCCTGCAATACAATAAATTAATTTCCATTCAAAATATACAGATGTAAAAGTTCTATTTTCCTAAAGTGATGTATTACAGGTGGAGCTGTGATTTAGTGAATAAAGTTCTGAATATTAAACTATTAAGTCTCACAATTAAATCCCAGTTCACGGATTTAGTTGGATTCAGGCATATAAGTAGTATCTATTTACTCGCATATCTAAAGTTAAACTAAACTGTGAATATAAATTTGGAATCGATAAATGAGCGTAATTAATCAATATTTATAAGTTCCGTATTACTGACAAAATTATTACAGTCAGACAGTGATTATCGAACGCTAAAGAGGATTTGGCCTCTTCTATGAGGTTATGTTTACTCATACTAGAAAACGTTGACCAATTTAACTAGTATGGGTAAAATTTAGCGATAAGTGACTAATAGTACAAATTTAGCTTAGAAGAAACTTTCGTTACTTTCAATGTTGTTTAGTTTTATGAAATAATTAAGCTTCGTCGTAATAATAACACTTCATTAGGAGTTAAAAGATACCATAAATACCTATTTTATAAAGCCAAAGGTCTGAAATTCAAATTATAACGAGCACTATCAAGTCGTTCTGAGGTACATAATACAAACTCTCATCATACTTCAGTAAGAGATGTTTGTCTGTTGTTAACCAAATGCAGAAAATTAAAACGGCAAAGTGTCTTGTAACATGTTTTAATGATAGATGGCTCGAGAATATACTTAAGGGGGATTAACAAGATATGTAGAAAAGCTAAAAGAATATGCTCATTCTGAGGTAATTTGACCTGAGTTTGAATGTACCTTAAAGGCAGTAGTAATATCTGTTGGGAACTTAAACTATAATTTTACGAAAAGCCACTTGATCCCGGTATCTTTTACTGAATTAACAAATACTCAGAGGTTTTTCCTGTTAGACTTTTAACACGATAAAGTGCAAAATCAACATAAATGCAGACAAAATAAGTGTTTAATCAGTGGTAAAATAGTATTTATGCGTAAAAACAAACTTTTGCCTATAATTATTAAACAATCAGAGATTAAAATATCATCCGTTAGGAAAACTATGATTAACTTTCAGTCAGCTATTTATGATTCATTCATATTCCTACGTAAACAGAATATTGCTATTGAGATGAGAAAAAAAATAAGTAAGATATTGGTTCATAGGAGAGTTCTCTTTTCGGTGAGTTCATTTTCAAAGCTGTACAATCTCAATTATAAACTTATTTTTCCAAACGATAATAATGGCAATCATGGTGATAATAAAATTTTTACGAAACATGGTAACGGTGCGTTAAAATAAATGAAGGCATAAAAACGTTATATTTCTTAAGGAAACTGTTAACAATTTTGTTGTTGAGGGCTTGAATATTCATTTTCAAATAAATAAAGCATTATGACTGTAAAGGAAATGCTCAAAATAGTAAGATAAAATGATGTCTGTGAAAGAAGAATAGGAAAAAAACACAAGAGATTAAGATCATGATGGAAGAAGAGGTTGTATCAGTTTCTTTTGTACACATAATTCTGGTTTTTCAAAATGTATAGCAAATGCTAAGACAGCAGCTCATTGTCATTGGAAGCTTTCTACCTACCTTGTAGATGACTTTGAACCCTGAATCCGTTTTGATTAAATGATCTGTGTTCACAAGGTGTTCGTTAATACAGTTTCTTATTGATGTTTTTCCGCCTCTTTTCAGATAAACCTGGTAATGTTCTTGAATCCCTTTAGATAAAATACGCATCGAACGACTTGTATACCTAGTTCCACATGAACATTTAAATTCATAAATTCATATGAAATCGGTCATTAGAGTGAGTTTATCCTTTGGATTGTTACTGATCACAAAGTTGCTGTGACGAAATTTCGGTGAGACTATAATTTATGTATGACCTTTGAGCGACGCAGAGATGACCCTTAGAATGTCCACCTATTAACTATGACCAAATGAGTATGGAGAAGTCATTATATGTAAAAACTATATTTGAAATATTCTCAGCGATTGAAATTTAAATAATTCTAACGTTTCGTCCAGCAAACTTGTCTGGACATCTTCAGGTTAATAATCGAAGTCATGATCATCAAAGAAATATATAGCGTTTATCAATCAAATCGAATCTATACTGTGCTAATCCAATCATAGTTAGATGATGACTTTAGTAAATAGGATAACGTGAGTCAGATAAATGCTATCTTATTCTTTGATGATCATGACTTCGAATATTAACCTGAAGATGTCCAGACACGTTTGCTGGACGAAACGTTAGAATTATTTAAATTTTGATCGCTGACATTTTAACCTACTTAGAATTAGAGTCTTCAAATGTATTTTTTGCTTGGTAGGTCTAGCTCGATAAAATGGTATTACATTCAACAACAAAAAACAACTCATAGTTTAAGATTAATACCTGTAAGACTGTCATTTCTTGATCATATTTAGAAATCTTCGACTCAATATCACTTTCCATTTTATAAATGGTTGATCGAATTGTTTCCTCTTCAGAACGATTAGTCTCAATCAACTTTTCAAGTAGTATTTCTTGACTTTTCATTTCTTTACTTAAATTATTTTTATTTTCTATGTAGAGAAAGTATTAAATTGTATGAAATATTTATCGTATTGTAGCTAATAAGAATTTAAATATATGAGAACATATTATTTAAAACAAATTCACAATGTGAACCAACTTGTTTGTATACACAGACTGTGAACATCAACTCCCTATTACTCAACTTAATCCAGTTGATGAGTTTTAAAAGCGACGAAACATGCGCTGTAGATTCTATTTTTGATCACTATCCAAAATATGTATTTTGGAAAATACTGTCATTTGATTGTTTATGGCACAGTTTTCATCTCAGCCGAGTAGGAGTTTCGCCATTCATTCGTTTAAATGATACATCTGAAAGTAGTCTCTTACTTCTAAAATACTATCGTAATTAGGAGCGAAATATGATTGTGAGCTCATCAATAAAACGTTTGAGAGAAATTACAGTAAGAATCAAGTCTTAAATACCTTTATTAATAGGATTCAATAAATCCAAATATATGGGTAACAGGTATGGAACGAATTTTGAATCACAAAAGAACAACCATTTTCGCAATTGACGAGCGATAACTTACAGCATTTCTTTAACGTAGTCAATTAATTTACCAAGTACAAATTTATGAATTGTTTTTTGATAATTAGTTATACTTTAATGTACATTACTTACGGGGACAGAATTGAGTAGTATGTAGCGGGAATTGGAGGTAAAATACCAATCAGCAGAAGTGAAACAAAGTGAGGAGGAAGGAAAACGATGAGCAATAAAAATAACGACAGGATCGAAAGAATGATAAAGTGTGTAAAGGAAAAATGAAGGGATATATGCAAATGACGTATTTAATGTATGATTTTCTTATTTTACAAAGTTTCTGATGGAACTGTGACATAATTAGCTGAAAGGTGGATAAATTAACCATCTACTGTCTTCACCTCACACAAACTCTGTGTTCACTAGTGACCAGCTTTGAGAGGAAATTCCCGAAGTTGTACCACGAAGCCATGACTAGTGGAACTAGAGAGGTACTCACCAGAGACAATGGAAGATAGTCGCACACTGTTGTAAGTTGATTGAAGTTAGACATTAACACAATTAGATGTCGGCACAGCGGTTTAGAAATTGTCATGCGCGCCAGATCGTGGATGCGCACTGCTGAGAAGTCCCACGCCAGGACAAAACAGTTTTCCAATGCCTCCAGGTTTTGACTGGTAATCTGATTTATATCGGTTCATGATTTCAGTGAAATCTATCTAACAATTAATTGCCTATCAGACTTCATTAGAGGTTGATAGCTTAAAGAAGTATATACTAATGTATGAAAGAATACACTAGCCTAATTAGTAAGTTGCTTTACCTCATGTTAACGACCTCAAATGTATATCAAGTAACTACTCCACTCACTCAAAAATCGTACTGTGATAAGTACCAACCGACTATATTATTCGTCAGAAATAAAATGGAAATCTAAAACACTATCAAATAATATTTCTAAAAATTGATATTCAGTTGGACATAATGAATATAGAACCTGGCACAAATGCTCGTAATCTCTAGTTATCATACTACACGTTGAGATGAGATTAACAAGATCAACGACTGTGATAGGTCAGCTAAAACTATGGTAGAACCTGGGATATCTGAAGTAAATCAAAGAGTATTAAAAGTAGTCACGTCATTAGTAGTAATAGAAAAGAGAGAAAAATTGAATATATGGTTCAGTAAGGAAGTTCACATCAATGGAATAATAGAATCTGTAAGGCAATTTAAAAACTTAAGATCTAAGGGTAAACAAAGAGTGAATTCACCTGCGCCATCACGAACGGCTTTGAGACATGTCAATCAAAGCCTGCAACCATAGGTTACGATAATTGCATAGACCTCAACCAGTTAGTTTGCACTTACCTCCATAGTTCATTCTTACAATCAATGACTTTATGCATTGATGCCATCTATGACATAGTTTGGAAGTCCCTAGTTTTCTTCTAACCTGTTCGTACTCCAAGAATATGAAGTAGTTGTTACGGTTGTATGACTATTACTGAAAGTCATAGATAATATTAGTTAATTAATATGTCTCGGAAGTTACTCGTCATTTAATCTTCGCTTGGATATAACACCTCAAACCAAGTCTCAATCATACATTATCCTCAATAATAATGAAGTATTATATTTTAAGAATAAGAACCCTAAGTAATAACTATTCACTTAACTTACCATCGTTTTGTTTTGTGATTTCTGTTATCTTTTTCGCTTCTTCTGTGTTAATTTGCTTTTTTCGTTCAGTTAAATATTTTTCAAGATTATCAATTTCATTTTTAAGTTTTGAAACAGTATAACCAATTTTCCTAGTCTGAAATGGAAACAATGTAAATTGTTTTTTTGTTTATACTAAGAATTTTGCAACCAAACACTTTTTGATAAGAAAACATATGAAATGAACAATTTTGTAAGTGATGTAGTTACATTATATTAATACTTTTCTGGTACAAGATAGATTATTTTGATAGATATTATTATTATTATTATTAGCTTTATTCAATATTATATTATTGGTACAATATAGAATTCTCAGCACAAAGTATTTCAACAAGTTTCCGTTTCTTTCTTCTTGGTCGGTCCTGGCGATAAATATTGAGTGATCGCCAGTTAGATGTTAGCAGTTCACTAAATGAACATCTGAATAATGTGCATTCTTTTCGTTGTATATTGCCAGCAACCATATTGTCTCTTATTGAGTTTTTTGTAACTTTGACAACGAAAGGTTGTACACTTTTCAGAAACGCAGCAGAATAGGTTATGCGATTAATAAACATAATGATATATTAAAATAAACAACAATAGATAACTTGTTGAAATATCTAGATGGCAGGAACAGGTAGCTCAGATGCTCAAGCAGGCCTAATGCAAAATTCTAAGTAGAAAATAACTGGTGTCATGCATTATTCTAATCTATAAGCAAGGACAAAAGACTATTGATTTTTGATTCATTTATAAACAGTTACTGATGACCAATGCTTAGTTATTATTAGAGAACAATGAATACGCTATAACTATTGCATTATATGAGTATGATTTTATGGTTAAAATCTAAAAAAAAACTTTTATAATTTCTCTAACATTGTTTTCTTCTATTTGACTACCACTTGATAATAAAGAAATTTGAACGGGAACATTTTCTATGTACTTCTTAGACCTTTAATATTATCTAATAGTTACGAGTTACCAGTTTTGAACTTCTTATCTCATAATTTGAATTTAAGGTTAAGTGGGCTATTTTGCATGCTTAGTAAATTCTATGTGACAGATAGTGAGTGATTTCAATAAGTACCACCTTAGACCATAAGTGATTGTAATAAAAGTTTTCTAGCCTCAATTTAATTAGTTTATTGCCAAGGAGAGCTCAGGTTATTTAGTTTTTGTTACTACATTTCAGTTTTTTCTTGAAAACATAAACTCGATAATGTTTTTTTAAATTCATATTTCTAATGCGAACCTTGTTATTATCTGATTGATTGTTGTCGCTTCTGGTTCGCTTAGTTTATATTCTTCAAGGTAGTTGGATGTTACTAAATAGACAGAGTTGTTTCGTTTCAATTTTGGACGTCTCTTAGGAATAAAGAGCTATCTTGAAAGTCTTGACTTCTCAATATTATATTTACTTGTGGATCATTAGAGTTCAAGAGTTATTGTGTGTCAAACATTCGGTTTATCCTGTTTTTTTTATTTAAGGCGTTTGTATTGTATGAATCGTTCATCGTTAGTAAATAGGATTTACCAATATCCAACTGGAAACTCCGATACATAGTCGTTTAAATCAAGATTGAACAGTTTCAATGTAGCTTAAGTTATCCCATTGATCATTTCTCAGACTTGATTATAATCAATTTAATTTAAAGTGTTTTATTTACATTATCATTATCTTTCTATCAAGTGCATTATTCTTCACAATTATAAAACTGATTTTAACCATAAACATTCTTCTCTCAATTCCGAATTGAAATCAGCTGGAATTGTGCAAACAATTTCATTCTCATTTCCTTCATCCATAAAAAATTGTTATTTTAAATATGCTTTATCACTGTACATGTTTCTTGAATTATATATATATATATATATATATATATATATATATATATATATATATATATTCTTCAGTTGTCAATGGTACTGTTACTATTACTCATCTCATATTGCTAGTTTTAAGAGTGAAAACCTCAAATGATGTACACTTTTGCGAGTTATATCTATAGCTTAGATTCTTATTATACCATGTACAATTTTAGAACACTAGAACTCTCCAAGTCGCAAATGAGAATACAGAATACAGGTGAAAGGAATGCTATTTCAAACAGTGCCAAATATGGTACAAAACTATCAGGTAATTAAAGTTTTGTAGTAAAAACGAAACCATCATTATAGTCATCCTATCCATATACAGGGGGTTTTAGCATTTATTCAATACGGAAGTAACACATAAAGATTTTGTAATATTTTTCCGAAAGATGATTGTATAAAAAAACTTCGGCTCTTTCCAAGCTTCTTAGAACTCATGGACTGTCCTCACATTGCCAAGTTTTGACCTGATTATATATCTCTTTATTGAATTACGATATATATATATATATAGTATATCTTATTTATTTTAGAGATGTATCAAAAACTAAGATCATTTAGTATCTTAACAAAAACTATATTCTATTATTACTCTTAAATATTCAACTATATTTATATCATCATTTCTACTTACTTCTGTATTATTCTGACAAATTTGTATATCCAATTCTTTAATAAGTTCAGTTAATTTTGTTTGACATTCTTGATCTCTAGTTTCAAGTTCTTTTATGTATAATTTTTTACGTTTTTTATCTTCTGGTGTAGTTAATAATTTTATTAATAATAATATTCTTAAATGTAATAAATATTCTACTAATTTTGTTTTATTATTTTGAGAAAATTGTGGTATCTGAATCCATTTAACATTAGTTATATGATTAGTAATTGTTTCTGGTAATTTCCATTTATCAGATAATTGTTCATTATTATCTAATAGGAATCCAGATAGTACTTGATTAATTAAAGGTTGTGATGACATAAAATGTAAAAAATTTCGAACATTATTCTCGAACTCTTCATTTATATTATGTTCCTGAAATATTGTGAAAGACAATAAGTTTTAGTGTACAGTATTGATAATTAGATATAGAATGAGTTGGGAACATTTCGTCAAACAATTGAATTAACGAAGGAAACTAATCAATTACATCAACTTACTAAACGACCAATCAAACTTAAGATCTATCGTATTACTATGACTACTTGTGAATAAAAGTAATGCCTTTTAGAAACATACTTCAAGGACGCTGTTTGATATGATAATGAGAGGTTAACATTCAAACTATTTATTACAATGAAATGCCAAACTAATAAAATTGTATATGTAAGATACGAATTTCTAATCTATTTCCATATTTGTTGGAGTCTATGTGTTATTGAAGTATGGTTTTGTGATTTTGGTATTGTCAAAATATTTAGCTAATAAGTAACTTTTCAATAAACGTTTTGAGGAAATTTATGATATAATTAATCAATTGACTACTAATTATGCAATGGTTAGTGTCAACCTCATATTGATTGATTCCAAGCAGCTTCATATACTTATCTTTTTTGACAGGAACTGATAAGATTTAAAGGTTAAAAATAATTATTTCGTTGAAAAACAATCTTTTTTAAAAATAGTTTAGCATGTATTCTATAAGAATATTAAAATATTCTCCCATAATTAAACTATCTCCAATCTGTTGATTAAAATAATACATTTGCAGCATAGAAACAGAAAATATAAGTGAGACTATAATTTATGGATGACCTTTGCGCAACTTTAAGATGACCTTGAAAATGTACATCTACTTACTAAGATTAAATGAGGGTTATAAATTAGTACGACGAACTAGAATTAGGATTTACAGTTGAACGTTAGGTTTATAAATTATATTTAATGTTTTTATCATGAACTGATATCAGCTATAATGCCGAAATTGTATTTAGCCAAATGAGTAGATGAATCTCGAGCCAAAATCTAAGATCTGCTATCTTAAATTTGATTGGTTCGTCCATAAATTATAGTCTCGTTATTAAAGAACTGTAAACTTAAGTCATTGATGATTTTAATTCCGAAAAAAATTCTATCTATAGAATCGACATTTTGGTGAGTGGAACGAGGAAAATGTCAAGAAGTTTATTATTTTTGTTGTTAACAAAATCTCATTCATCCTATAGATTATTATTCTTTCCACTTAGACATAGGAGAATATTTATTGACAAGTTCTAGTAATATTTCTACGAAGATTTCATTCTAGCTTATTATTTATATAAAGTTTAAAAGCATCTGAGTTAGTGGTAGAATTAATTTTTTGTTTGAAGTCGTGAATAACTACTTATTTGAAAAAGATTTATAAATCATTCAGTCTCATTTAATTATTGATATAAATGAATTACAATTTATTTATCACTGAGGAAGCAGATAAGATGAAAAACAAAGACTTTGTAAATTAAAATCCATTTAGAGGCAGATTTTAAAAACATCTTATTTTTTCGGTTAAAGAATTGTTAGCCAAAATCCTTCAAGTAACCATCAATGATATCTGTCTGGTGTTATAATGATTTAACGTTTGTAGAGGCTTTAAGGGTTAAGTTTGATTACAAAAATTTTGTACCTACTGGTTTGTAAGATGTGCAAAATTGTTTCTAATATCAACAAATTTTTTAAGTTTTATAGCTTATAAGATTTAATACATCAGCAGTCTAGGATTTGTTGAACTTATAGCTCAAGATAGTTGTAAAATTTCCATCTTCGGTTACTTCTTACCCTTCAAGTGTGTATAGAGGAGAAAGATCATTAAAACTACTAGGTAGTCAAACAAAGTCAGTATGAATGAAAAGCCTTCACTTTGATTCAAATAATAATTCTCATACTGTAAACAAACTGTTAAATACTCTCTTGTTGAAGCTGTAAAATCTTTGAACTTGGTAGTAAGAACTTTGCAACAATTTTCGAATGACTTATAGCCAATACACTTAGTGATGCACGTTTTTGGCCAATACGTTAGAATAACACTGTGATCGTAATAGGGGACTACATGGAGCATTGTTTACATTTACGAAACGTTTTTACTTGTTGCTACTAATACGACTAATGAATAAAGATAAAACGCACTTATTTTGCTAGTTAAACATACAGTATGTGATTAAAGCATTTGATCTGTATACATATCAGCCGATTTCAAGTAAGATTTTTTTAAAGGTCTATATTTCAGTAATAACTGATGCAAAAATACTTCAAAAATTTGTCCGAATGTTAAATTACTTCAGATAATTAGCTAACATAAAACGCCCTTTTATTTTAAGAAATCCCTTAATAATCAAAACTGATCAATGGTACCGCAAAATTAATCAAAACAGTCACCCCCTACATTGGAGACACTTCATATTTTTTTATCACGTTAGGATCTAAAGCAATAAGTGATAATTAGTTCTAATGTAGAAAACTACCACACTAATGCTTTTTTGTTTAGAAAATCGTGTTTTATATTACACAGAAGTCTATTAGGAGAGAATTATAGTAACATATAAGAGACATATGGGTATCTGCAATTCAGTAATTTCTTAATATGCTACATGGTGAGAACTCCACTTTTCGAACCAAAGGTAAACTCGTGTTTGTTATATTTAAGCAAAGAGACAGAGCAGAGAGCTAACTCATTGTTAAGATGGATTACCATGTTACTATTAGAGTTCTAAGCCGCAAAACATACTTTGGCTATCAAGAGTTATGTAGGTGAATTTCCATGGCTTCAAAGCAATCAAAATCTCACAAAAACTGAGTAGATTAGCTTTGTTAGAATCTGAGATTACACATGTGATTTGTAATGCAATGAGGAATTTTTAACCAGACAATGAAGTTTCAAAAGTAGAATCTTGAAAGGTTTGATAACAACTAAATACAACAAACTTTGTAAAGCCTTCCAAAGTAGTAATTATCATAATCAAAGATATAAATATCTATCTCAAGCCAATCCAATCTGCATTCATATTGATAGGTATTTTAAAACTCTATAATACATTTTACTATTTAGAATTGATCAACAGATATACGAGGTTTCATACTTTTGCTTTTTTAAATTTCCATCGATAATTTATTTTACATGTTTTGAAAACCATTTTCTGAACTCACCAAAGAATCGTTTATTTCTGATTCTAACAAAGTTTTGTTGTGAACAAGCATGTAACTTACTGGTATTTTTCAGCATCTCACAGTTCTCAGACAAAATTTTATGCGAATATGGACTGTCGAGGTTACTAGCTTTTATTAAGTCGTATTCTTTTGCTTGATTTATGTAAAGACTCACACGGTCTAGTAGGCTTTCTTCATTTTGAACCTGTGGACTCTTATAAACTAATATTGAAATGACATACCTCAACACTTTCCTTTATGTTCTGTAAACATAAAACAGTTAATACTTTTTGTAAAGCCGCATCAAAAACAGCAAGCACCTTTTTGGAGATTGGAGATTCAATGTGTCTGCTTAATGGCATCAATTCTTTGATGAAATTCATTCTTTGACATGGTATTCTACGTTCTAAATCCATGTTCGTAATAGTTTACCGAAGATTTTTCAGCAACTCAATTGATCTGCAGGCTAATAAACTAGGAAGTCAACTAGTTTATCAAATAAAAAATTTGAGTTGATAAAGAGACAAAGACTACTTGAGTCTCATGTATATGACAAAGAAAAAGATTTATCTTCGACTTGTTACAAAAATAACGGAACGTAACACTCTAACTAAGGTTGTAAGTGCTTTTGAAAACAGAGTAACTTCAGCATATTAGGATAAACTGGTATTCAAGACTGCTTGATTTTTTTTCACAAAGACAAGATTCTATCTGGTGAATACATAAAAACTAGAAGGCATGAAATGTTCTCGAACCTCTATTAGTACTAGCTCTGAAAATCTCATGTTATTTGTCTCCAAATTCATTATCATTAATTTCTCTTATGTTGTTTGGCTATAGATATACTCTTAAATGATGAACTCTAGGTTCATTCTTACTCATTAAAATTAAAATTAAGTCTTGAGAATGAAATTTTTGATAATTAAAACTAAAATCATTGACCTAACAGTAGGCTTTTCAAGCGTCTAAAGTTTGAAGCCAAGTCGCTGGCACGTTTCGAAGTTTTTCTGACATTAAATTTGAATCAGTGAAACTTGGTTGAGGGCCACATATTTTTCGCGCGCTTTATCATCCTTTTCAAAATCTTACAAAGCGATAGCGATCGATTTATCCTAACCGAAAAGACTTTATTCTTCTAATGCTCCTTCAGCTATTACTGGATACAGATAGCTTTTATTGAGAGTATTTCTTGTTCTAACAGCGAATGAATGATTTTAAATAATGATGTTATCTTTCAAACAGATGGTTGCTGTCTTAAAACATTTTATAGTTTGAGCATTGGTAGAGCTATACAAATGAATGTGATCGTATTTTTGTCAAATTTCATAATGCCTGGTATTAACACCTAGTGTTACAGATACTTCAGGAACAAATGAGAGAAAATAGATCATTGTCTTTAAGTCATCATTTAATATGACTCATAGGTCATTGTCAGTTAAGATTGGACCCAAGAATATCTTACCAATTCTGTAGCTAGTAACAACTGAATATCCAACAACCATAGTGTTACACACAGCTGCATTGATAGACATTAATCTTGCCTCATGTCAGCTTTGAAGGACGTCAGGGCCACTATCCCATGCTACTTCCCTCCGATTTAGAGTGTCCTTCAGAATAAAATAATGTTGAAGATCCAGCGCAACTTGTTTAGATACAGAATAAACCACAATGGAATCAGTCGATTCCCGTGGTGTCCCATTGAGCGGACTGTGAATCTTGGTAGAAAAGTATTAACATAGGTCGTCGACTTTCTGTCCTCAGTACGTAGATCTGAATCTGTTTTGGCCTAACACAAACTAGGGTTTCAAGCTAAATATTATCGGTTCATACATAGGTTACTTTGCAGAAGTAGAACTGAGCCTATTTCACAAGTTGTTATATTAGACTTGAGAATGCACATGCCGTTTCATAAGTTGATGTTAATATATGATAGAATCACATGCTTTACTGATAGTTAATATGTTTATGCCTAAAAACTACTTATATTGGCGTATTATTTTGAGGTCGAAAATGCCTTTCTGTTTATCCTTAAATCCTTAATTAGCGCGTGACTGTTTTACACTTTATTTCCTCCGAGTTTATCTTTGTGCCTCCTTTCTTGTTTGCTTGCGAAACATACGCATATTAATGACAGAAATCTGTGACACTTCATATATTTCAGTTTTCAGATGAGTCTAGCCTAACGATAAGTTTTGCGCCTGCAGAAAGTAAGGAGCCGCATGTGAGATAATCCGGTGGAGAACAGAATTAGAATGAAGGTAGGTCGACGGCTCGGTTAACACATAAAGTGCACTTATATCCAATACTGAGACCAGATACGAACGACTAACATTACCAATATAGTGCGTTTAAGGCTATGTTGTTATGAAATCTAGAATCTGATAGTGGAAGCTTCATAGGCCCTCAAAACCTGCGCAATTCAAAGCTATTAGTTCCTTTGCTATATTTGGATAGTGCGCTACGAAGACGATAATTATAAGAACCACGCGATATATTGGCGCGATATACTTCGAACAATCTGGTCACGCATATTCTTGTTAAAAACATTCGTACATAGGGATAAAAATCAACTAAACAAATGGATGGCAAAAGGAAACAGAGACAATGAGGAAAATAATAAGAAAAACAATGTGAAATTTACCACTCTGGAGAATAAACTAATACTACCGAAGTAGGTATGAGGTGAGAACAAAATGTTTTTGAATAAACAAAGAGGATTTGAATTTTTGTATGATCGGGGCTTCGATAAACCTCTTTAACACTTTGTACAGTGCTGTGCTAAAATGAATCTCAAAACATTTTCCAACTATATGTTGAACAATAAAAAATGATGGTAGATTATTAGCTAATCTTATCAGCCATTTGATTTTATTTGTTTTTGCAACCATTTAGATACATGTCAAGACTCTAATTTGCAGATAATGATAACTCATCCCCACATTTGTGTATCCACACACGTTTAATTAGTAAACATAATGGAATGCGATGCACTCGTTTTCACACCACATATGCTTCAAGTAAGAGGTGGAATTTATTTTTTCCTCGACAACGACTTTTGTTTTTATATGCAAATGTCCTAAGCTTTCACGTTTGAGGGAATTTTGGGGAAAAACGCGAAATTTCACCTAAATTGTGAAACAATTTGGGGTTCCATTAATAAATGTTATCCGATTTCCTCAAAGTGCAATAAGATTCTGAGGAGATTTTAGAGTTTTGGTGCCGATTTTCTTAAATTTCCTCGAAGTTCGTCACAGCGGTTTCCTCAAAATCATTCAAATTTACCCTAAACTTCGAAAATCTCCGATTGGGATCCCATGATCAGTTGTGTATAAATCCTTAGCTCAATTAGCTTCCGAATAACTTAGGCGGTAGATTTAGTGGTATTGATTCAGACATTCAATAAATCAATAACTTTAGGTCAAAGGTCGTTCTTACTTTACCAAATTGTTACACACTACGGGATTCAGTTTAGCTCGGTACTTAAGGCCTCTCGGTAGTCATGTCTCAGAGCATTAAAACAAAGACCACTTCAAACTCATTCTGATGGTTTCCAGGCTAAAGAAGCCTCAGAAAATCCATCATAGTTTCAAATAATTTTATAGAACAATATAACGTGCGGAGAGTAATTGGTAAAAATAATCCAAGGTGTTTTGCTACAAGAAGCACTAGTATAAATAACGTGTAGCGGTAAACAAATCCTCAATACTTCTGTAAGTCTTCAACATCTGGAACTGACCGCATTTATTTTATTGGATTATCTTTGCTGAGGTCTCAACGTCATGCTTCCGCACCGGATCCAGAGAGGGTACACAGTATTACGCATCACTTTCAACTGTTAGCCAGCCTAAACAAAATATTCCTCGACATACTGAAAGCCTTCTCAATATATCTTCGAACTCCTCCATTTCTGTCTTCTGATTTGACTGTGATGGCACACCTTGAATATAAAGGTATGAATGGTTAAGGCGTTGTCAAACTCCGAATACTTGTGGCGTCTTTAACTGAATCGCTTAAGGCGGCTGCAATTAAACGCAACTCAATTTCGTAAATGTGCCCTTCAGCTTAGCAACCAATCAGAATGAGGCGGGAAGTATTACATCCGCCATCTTCGTAAGCAATGGCGGTCGTCTTTCTTCGTTCTGTGCTTCTTTCAGCTATTTCTTTTGTGTGGCTACGGAATTTAATGTTTCAGTGTGCTAAAATTCAGAAGTTAGTGTAATACTCTGAACGTTGGAGCAAAGTTTTTCCTGATTTTGCTTTGTTTTCTGGGTTATATCTGCTGCTAATGAAGTCACTGTATTTATTCAGCTAAGCTGGCTAGTACTAACATAAGACCTTACGTTTTCAAACGATAATCGGTTATTTTTTACCTTGTTTTCTAGATATCCGAAGCCGAAGTTCGTTTTTATTTAGCTAAAATAATTGTTGCTGCCTCCTGTGACTCTAATTGTTCGCATGTTCGTTCCTAACAGTCCTTTAGGATGTTATCGGCAAAATGAAAGGAAACAATCTGCGTTTTTTAATTTTCTTCAGTATTATGGACAACACTATTCCACCAACGAGTCAAACTAATACAGAGTGCCCAGCAGTAGGGTATATCGGTACTGATTTCGAAAGGACCCAGACTTCCGACAACTATAGATGAAGTCACAGATGCTACCAATCTATTGCAGAGGGTTTGTTATAAAAAATATGCCATATAACAGTAATAGAGGGGTTGTACTCACTACTCAGTGCGTTAAAGCAAGCTTAACATTGAAAAGCCGGAAATCTGCTACCAGTGTCTAGTGTATGCTTGCTGTTTTGGCCATAAAAGGTAGCCGATGGGTCATGATCAGGGAGTAAAAAGGTAATTAACTGTTATTAAGCTCACTTTTTTATAGATCGTGTTTCACCACTCGCAAATATGCGTTTTCTTACGGTATGATGTCAACTGGTACCTAATTATTATTATTATTATTATTAATGGCTTTATTCAATATTATATTTTGGTACAATATAGAATTCTCAGCACAGGGTATTTCAACAAGTTACTTACTGAACAACGAACAAAAAAGACAGTAGCGAATATATAAAGAAATATATAAAATAAAAATTTAAAAAAAAAAAAAAAAAAACCAAAAGAAACTACAAACTTTTAAAATTAAAGACATTTTAAGAATGTAAGTTATTGACTAAGTTAATTCTAACAACCTGTTCGTCACAGAGTATATTTGCTAGGTAAGGTATAATAGAACTTTTATACTTTTCCTTGCGTGCAAGGATTTTTATGTAATTACGTCTCGTTCTACCAGAAGATATACAAGGAGAAAGATAAGAGTGAAGGGGATGGCTAGTATCTGATAAAATAACACCTGCCAGGAGTTTGCATGATTTTAAATGTCTGTCCACAACCATATTAATTATGACCTCGAAAGATTCACCGCACGTCTTACTAACTGCCTTTAGCACTCTTCGCAATACAGCAAAGTCTTTTCTCAAAAGCCCGGGAAAGAATAATGGAGAACAGTAAAGAATAATAGGTAATATGCAAGAATTGACAAATTGTAAGAGAAAATGACGAGTAATTCCAAGAGCATGCAATCTCTTTATGTAGTAGGTCAGACGGAAAACCTTCTTTGATAACGATAAAACGTGGGAAGACCAAGACAGATCAGAGGAAAAGGTGACACCAAGATAATTGACCTTCGACACCGCGTTTATCAAAGAGTCTCCGATGGTACAAGCACTATGGGATCTCAAAATAGTGTTTATATTCCGTTCATGTCTCATACTAAAGTTAACTGCTTGACATTTAGATGGATTAAGTATGAGACCATTACCAACAGACCAACAATCAATACGAGACAAAAACTCATTCATTTCTATGGGATGTAAAGAGGAAGATATAGGCATACATACAGTGAGATCATCCGCGTACTTCACAAAAGTGCTTTCTGTGGAAGATGGCAGGTCATGCAGAAAAAAAGAGAATAGAAGAGGTGAAAGAACAGCTCCTTGTGGTACACCTTCCTGAGACAGTAGAGAATCTGAACTCTTTCCTCCAAACACAGTGTACTGTTCCCTTCCAGAGAGGTAGGAACACAGCCAGTTGGTTATCCAGCTGTCAGTGTTGACGCTGATTAACTTGTTAAGTAAACGTTGTCTTGGTATAGAGTCAAAAGCTGAAGTATAGTCTAGAAAAGCACATCGAACATAGCTCTTACCCTTTTCTAAGTTGAACACTATGTTGTGATGCAGAACTGCAACAGTATCTAAAGTGCTTCTTTTGCGCCTGTATGCAAACTGGTATGGGTCAGTATGCTCTTTTATCGCAGGCTGAAGTGGAAGTATTAATAATTTTTCCATGGTTTTGAGGAAAGGTGAAGTTATTGCAATAGGTCTAAATTTTACATTCTTATCACCAGATGCTTTCTTGGGTACAGGAATTATCTTCATCTTTCTCCACATTTTTGGTATGAGATTAGATGAGAAAGATCTGTTAAAAATAGTTGTGAACGGATGACACAGAACGTCAGCACATTTTTTAAAAAGGAGGTTTGGGATACCATCAGGACCCAAACATCGAGATGAATTAAGCGACTGGAGACATCCTCGTACATCAGTTTCAGTGAACGTATGAACACAGCTATTTTTTAAACCCGTGGATAGAGGGAGCATCACATCAGATGACTGACGTACAAAAGACTTATTTAAGTCACAAACATTCAGCTGGTTATCGCTTCTAAACTTTCTGTCACCTGTAAGTTCTTTAAAGAATTTCCACATACTTGTAGAGTTTTTGCAAGATAAGAGTTTTTGAGTAAACATGCAGTTGAGACGTCTAATCTCTAGGTTTATCAGACCATTTAGCTTACGAACTTCATTTGAGTTCTTCTCTTTGTACATTCTTTCTTTAATCCTCCGTAGTCGTTTTAGTTGTGAAGATGTAAGCCGATCAAAACTTACAAAAATGGTTTCAGTGGGACAACAAATATCAAAACAGAATTTAAGGTAACAAGTGATAACATCAGTAGTGTTTTCGAGTGAGTCATCTGTAAATAATTCCCAGTTAGTCGTATGAAACATGTTTTTCAGATTTTGGATGTTTTCGTCTGAGTAATTCCTATATTTGACTTTCTTGGTTTGATGTAAGAGTGTACTCTTCCCATGCTTTCCATATACTTTAGGTAGAACACGAATTAAACAGTGATCTGAGCTAGACAATGGAGCACGTTTACGAGTCGCATATATACCCACATCATTAATGAAAACGAAGTCTAAATGAGCATCCAAACGAGTAGGAAAATCTACTACGTTTTGGTGACCTAGTGACGTAAGGAAGCTACAGTCACATGAATTGAAATCACCGCATACAACTGAAAGTGAATCACTGAAGGCAGTAACAGCGAACTCAGTGAATTCATCAGCAAAAACAGATAGTGCAGATGATGTGCAATCTGGAGTCACGTAGATATTGGTAACATAAACATATTTGTATTTATTCAGATGTTTTGGACGACATCTTAGAGTTAGACAGTCGATAAAGTCATTTGAAAACTTAAAACACACAGACGAAGATTGACACCAGTTTATGTTTACAAACGTAGCTACACCGCCACCACACCTTTTTTTATTGTTCGATCGATCCTGACGATAAATTTTGAAATCATGTAGTGATACAAGGCAGTCATCGTGTAAATCATTCAACCAAGATTCTTGAATTGTGATGACACCACAATTACGATACGTATTTTGACTAAGCAGGAATTGCAGATAGTCCACTTTGTTGATTAATGATCGGCAGTTAGAATTAAGAAGCTCGGGAATCGACATACGATTAATGTTCATTCTCTTTAACGCATATTGCCAACCACCACGATGCCTTTTATAGTACTTTTTCTTAACTTGTGCAGCGAAAGGTCGTAGGCTTTTCATAAAAGCGCCTGAATAGGTTATGCGATTAATGGACATAATTATAGATTAAAACAAATAAAAACTGATAACTTGTTGAAATAATCAGATGGCAGAAACAGGTAGCCCAGATATTCAAGCAGGCCGCCTAATATGTTCACCCTTACGATGAAAAGTACCTGCAAATTTTCACCTCCATATTCGAATTATTTTTGGACAACTGTCTTACAGTCTGAGTGCTTCGTACGCCCTGAGAGACTAGATTCCTACATTATTCGTAGTTCCATTATAACTTTCTCACTCAGTAAGTTCAAATTAGACACTAGTCTTTCTAAATAAGCCTTTTAAGCTAATATCTGTATTCTCTATTTCAGTTAATCGATGAAGACATGTACCACGTGCATCTGCTGTATACTGCCATTTTACTCCAATTCGAACTTATATCTTACTTTTGAATAATAAAATTGCTATATGCTGCAAATACAGACTTATTTATTTTGATGGAGGTAGGGGGGCTCATGGGATTTTCACTAAAGAGCTAAGCGAGTGCGTAAACCAGTATAAGGTACCATACGGGGTGCATTTGAGTTACTAGTGTTCTATAAATGCGGGTAGGGGCATTGCTTGTTTGTCATATGGCATTTGAATTAGAAGCTATGAGATAAGACGCAGGTACGGTTACGATGTGTAACGCGTGTCCATCCATCAGCTGGTGTGACAACCCATGGTGGTTAGAATAAGCTATGAGAGGACCCGAGTCTGTAGGTCTCCCAAGGAAATGACGAGGATATGCACCAAGTCACCTTATAAAGAGCGCCTTCAATCACTTAACCTCTACTTATTACAGTATAGACGTCTTAGAGGTGACCTAATGGCTTACAATAACCTTAACACTTCTAGACATCCCCTAAAACACCTAATTAAGCTTAGTTCCAACACTAACCTAAGGGGTAACACCCAGAAGCTAGAGACACAACATAGCAGAACGGACTGTAGGCACAACTTCTCCTCCTTAAGAGTTGTCAAATGCTGGGATTTTCTGCCGGCCGAGCTAATCCAAGCGACTTCGCAGGAGTCCTTTAAGAGGCAACTGGGTTTATTCTTAAGGACTAAGTATAGTATCATACTATGATTTATCAATTTCTTTTTCCTCTTTTATTGTTAACATACCTAGTTTTCTGCCTTGAGGTATTGGTGATCCCCTGCTACTAGACACGGAAGCCTGTTAAGCGAAAGCTTATTCTATTCAGTCCACAACCATTTGAACACATGAACTAGGTGCTGAGAGGCTCGCTTATCACAAGTTTCTGGCAACGATTAAGTAGATAAAACAAAGTAGCATTAGATTCAGAAATTTATTCAAGAACTTTCATTAAGAATCGAATAGCAAACAAAGGTTTGAACCAAGTTCCCGTTTAAAAGTTGTATTGGTAATGTTAAGCTGCAGTTTTCGTTGTATTTTTCCAAACGAAAGAGTAAAAGAAGTCAAAAAATACTGGAAGTGGTTGTGAGACTAAAATGGACGTCCAGCATTTTTTTTATAATCTGCTGTTCGTTGGATCTCCCGTAAACAGTTCCATAGGGCCATAGTTCTAAGGGCGAAACAGTTTTTATGATCTGTGAAGACTCACTCCTGTTGCATTCTAAATGAAAAAATGGTGATGAATTTAGTCAGATATGTGGAATATATAAATAACCAAATCACATGTTTTTTAGCAAAGAATTTATGCAGTTGTGATTTACCTTGAGTTCATGAATATTAGATAAGGTCAGCTACTATTACTTGCGCAAAGCATAACATGGGCTTAGTACCGTATTGCAATGCTTTTATTATTTTGCTCCCATTTAAGTATTCCCATGCATCTGCGTCTAGTTTAACAGGAAAACATACAAGCAGAGCAAGTGTATGATAAACTAAAAGTCCCAGTTGTCCAAAAGATTTTCAACATTTTTCCACAGCCAGCTGCATTTAATTGAGACACAGAACACTCATCTTCTAAGACTGTATACTGCTGTTTTTCGGGCAACTAAAAGCTCAGACACTTAGCTATCTTGCTACCGATGTTATTGATGGGGAAATTGTTTAATGACAGTGATCATGAAATATGGTCAGTGATAGATGTACAGTTTAGAAATAAACACCAAACATACTTATCGCTATCTTATAATGTATGACAGCAACAGCATCAAAGGCACGTTTTTTTCTATTTTTAATCAGACTGATCTGAATCAGTATACACATTAGAAACAGGCAACTCTACTTACTAAACTGATCTGTTTCGGTACAGGCTTCAAGCACTATACTTAAGTATATCATAATTCTTTCAACTAAACTGAATTATACGACAACCAAGAACACTAAACTAAGCAAGTGTCATAGTTATTGTTTCACTTGCAAAGACATGTTGCTCAAAGTAGGTAAATGGACATAATTAAGCCGATAAAACCAAAACACGAAATATATGCCAGTTGAACTTACCTAAGAAAAAAAAGATACATATATACTGCTTTAAAGCAGTATTCAGTATGAATTCATACTGAAGACAACAGGAAGTCGATCATAGAAACACAGTTTACAGTACAACAAACCTTTCTTCAGTAAAATCATGCACTGACAGTCTATCTGGAAACAATCAACTATGTGAATAAAATCACTATGACTTAAGATATCATCTCAGCGTGCAATGGACGTACAGTGTAACACAGTCAGACGTGGCGAATAGAAATTAAAACAGAGAAAAATTAACTACATAATCTAGTTATTTAATTAAAAATACATTATGAAGTGACAAAATATGTGGTTACTTGAACGCACAAATGACAGTGTGCGATACATTAAGTTTACATTGGTTGCGTTGCGGATAAGATCACCCCTTAAGGCGGCCTAAGGAAGATTCAAGAAAGAAAGACAGTACGACACTAGTTACCAAAATTGGAAGATCATGAAAAATTATGGCACAGAGGATGTGCAAAGTCATGAAAGCGAAAGAAGAAGAGGATTCAAGCCGATAGATGGAAGTATGTAAAAGCCCTCCAAACTGCTACAGAGGAACCTGCAAAAGGAAATATGAGAGAATTATATGGAACAATCAAGTAGCTAACTGGGAAATATAGTAAAATGGAGCGATCAGTCGTCAATAATGAATACGAATCAATCACTGAGAATGAAAAGTGTGCAAATGGCGAGTGGGATACAGAGAAGAGCTCTCGAATAGACCAGCTTCACTGGAACTACTGAATGTCGAAACAGCACATAAATGTCCATCATAAAAACAAAGAATTGTGAGGTAGTGAAACCAGACAAAATACCATCTGATGCACTGTATTTAGATATAGAATTAACCGCAAGGATTTTTCATGTTCCCTTGGAAAAGAATTAAGTGGAATAACACGTGCCAACAGACAAGAAAAGTAGATTCAATGATATTCAGAAATATTCGAATTAAAATGCAAACTAACAACACCTACAAATGTATGATCCACATCGGAGAAAACTCATTGAGCACAACTGAACCTTCTGTACCTAAAGTTCATAACAGGCACGGAATAATGTAAAAATCTATTTTTTGCTCAAAAACGCCAAATACTTTATCAACATATAGAAAAAACAATGACTTGGAAAATGTAGGAATACAGGGAAACCACAGTTTTCTGTGCAGAAAGCAAAAATTTCAACACTATGTGCGAGCTGAATGAGAGATTCGCTGGACATCCAACAAACCAGATTTTGTGGAGGTCGATGATGTAGCGAGAACAAATCCCAACAATCGGAATAATTGTGGAGTAACCAATTTAATGAAATTCGTCACCGTAATCATATTCATTGATTACATAAAAGCATGTAACACAGTGGACGGAACTGTTACAACTTGCAATTTTTGTGAAGTATTCTAAAAGATGAGATTTCTCAGGACCTAATGGATGTGGACGTTCAAAGAACTACCGACCACCCACAGTAATAGCAAAACAACTGAAAGTCATTGAGATAAGATTCTCATATCTCTGACATCATTGTTAAGCCCAGGTTCATGCAAAGCCCTTATACTTAGATGTTTTCACTCACTGGCCAGTTGATCCCTGGGATCTTTCCTCCCATGTTTCTGTATAGAAAATGAAAGGGAGAAGAACAATCTTTGAGTAAGACATATACGGTACGAGCCACAATATCTGAAGCATCATCCGGTAAAAACCCGGCCTTTAGTGAACCTCCTCTTTTAATTTTTTTCGGAATGATGAGTTTAAATTAATCACTCTGAGTTGGAGTAGTCAAGCATGAGTCATTAGAGATGGTTAAGTTGAAATCGAACTGCTTGCTACTGAGTTGCTCAGTAAACAATTGTGATTTAACAGTAGAAGCGCGTTTTAAGTTCATAATGAGTTATCTGGTTGGTCTTACCCAATTCTTATAAGTCCTTTTGTGTGAGATTTGAAACACAAAAATTCGGGACTGACATCATGTCAAGAGACCGACGCTATAGTGATCTTCAGAGTCTTCATCTATTAAGTAGGATCAATTGAGTGTTATAAACCAGTGTGAGTAATTAGGATTATGATTGGTTGGGGTCAGGGATTACATTTATGGTTTTCATCAAGAACTGACATCAACTATAATTCCAAAACTCTATTTATCCGAGTGGATGGGTGAATTTCGCGCCAAAATCCGAGACCTGTTATCTTATACCTGACTGATTCGTCCATGAATTATAGTCTCGCTTATAAGTCAACGTTATGGGTCACTTATATGCAAGCTATTATACTTTTGGAGTGACTATCAGCTGATTATTGACTTACCTGGTTTTATTTTGGTGATAGTATGTTGTAGATAATAAGTAAGCGCGTAAATGTATCAGTGATGTTTGTTTGATATCTCTTGTTACAATACACGGCTGTCTCAGTGTTCCCTTTGTGTGAAAACTACAGGGATGGTCAGGATTAGTCTCCACTAGCGTACAGAAGTCACGACAAAATCTAATAGTATTCAAGAGGGTGGTTGTAACCACAGATGTCTAGAATCCATTAGGAATATAAACTGTATTTAAAGAACATGGGAACAACTGCAAACACTTCCATGACACACCAAAAACACCTCTTTGTGGTATAATTTACTAACCAATTCGTTCAAAACTATTGCTACCAGGAAAGAAGATACTATGCAGTTAACTTATTGCGTTATTGAGAACAAATAGAACTGTTCATAAGTAATTAAAAGTATTTTTGAGAAATTTTATACACATAGTTCCCTTTATCATTTTGAAAAGAGCAAGAACAAAGATTCTAGCAGAATAACATGAATTCATTTTATTT